AAAATTCCTATACTAATAGGTGTTTGTTTTCACTACTTTTAAAGGCAGAATTAGTAGACCTTTTCTATTTAACATATTTAATATTATTAACTTCTAAAGTTATAACATTTCCAGGGGCTTAATAAACACTAAAGGTGGAGGTGAAGAACTTAAAGGTAATAGATTTAAACAAGTTTAATAAAAAAAGGAAGTAAAAGTGCACGGATGCTTAGAAAATATCCTAGCTAAAAAAAGTTAAAGGAAGGCTGTCTGTGTACAAGTTCCGAGATTAGCTTTTAATAATAATATAGTATAACGATGGAAAGTAATAGTAAAAATAAAAATAAAAAAAATACCACCACCAGCAAAAATAGCTTAGTCTTAGTAAAGAATAATAACAGAATAAAAAGTTTGGGAATTACAGATTCTTAATAAAATACTTATATTATTTGGCAAGGGATAATTATTTATTATAAATTATCTTAAACCTTGTACAGCTAGCATGTAAAGGGCTGGAGCTTATTTAACTACTTAGGCCTATAATTCCTACTATCTTAATTATCCCTGTTATCCCTACAGATTCAACTAGCTTTTGTCTTGTTTACCCTAGATAACCTATAATACGTGACTTTTTTGTTTACTGTTTTACTAGTTTATCTATTAACACGACGTGTTTTAATATAACTCCTAAAAAGTTATATAGTTAGAATATATAGAAATTAATATCTAAGTATAAAATTAAGATCTATTAGAAAACACGAGAATATTACCTGTTTAGTGGTATATTTATAGAGTTTGCTTTAGTAGTTTATTAAAATTAATAATATATATATATATATATAGTATATTTTATAAGCACTTAGATATAATACTTACTTATTTTTAATAATTTAATCCTCTTCCGATAAAAGTTTAGACATAGTATTATTATTCTTGGGTTAAGCAAGTAATAATCTATAGTAACAGTCTAACTGTATTACAGGCTACGTCTGTCTATTGTTGCTCGGCCTATTTTTCTGGTAATATTTTATATTAGGCAGCGCGGTAATAACTTATTGCAAATTAGATTAGTCAGGCACTTAGCGCTAACTTAGGTAGTTAGGTGTAAGCCTATATTCCCACCTTCACGTATTCCTAGAGGCCAGCGATTAGCTCTATAATATAGGTAATCTTATATTTCCTTTTTAATATACTACATACTGTATCTCAGCGCTTTTATTAGTTTATTATTAACCCCTATGGTTAATACTTTATCCCAGTTCTCCAGGTTTCTAAGACTTTAAATGGCAAGGAGCCTGCCCTTACAGATTAAAATATTAAATATGTTGCTGTAGTTAACTATACTAACTATTTACAACCTAACCTACTTTTTATTCTTAAACTCTGAGCTTTCCAATTCCTTTTTTTAGATACCTTAACCTTACTACTAGACATATCTTTATTATCACCCTCCCAAATTGGCTTAATTGGAGATCTCTAGTTATAAAAATTTTAAAGTTCCTGGTTTAAGGCCTTTTTAGAAGTGTGACGGTGCACATGGTCTGTTTGCATTGTTTGTAGACTGCGGCAAAACCGCGGTTTTGGGTATCATAGTCAAAACCACAACCGCAGATTTGCGGTTTTGGATATCACTTTGAAAACCGCAACCGCAACCGCAGATTTGTGGTTTAACCACGGTTACCCATGGATAACCGCATGAAAACCGCACTAGCATAACTCTCGCTTCTTTAACCAATTCTAGCATATCAGGTGACACTTATGCAGCTTACATACTCTTGTTTTAATTTGAAAATACACCTGTTCTGGTTAATACAGTGAGCCCGGTTAACCTCTCAGGCCAATTGTTCTTATTGTCCCTACTGTCCCTATTGCCCCTATTGGTTGTAGCTCCTCTAACGTTTTATATACGTGTACCCAGGCAATATGCTCCTGGGAGTGTACGATAATAAGCTATTCCGAAAACTTAAAGACAAGGAATGTGTTGCAGGCCACGCCCGTATATTACTCCTATTCGCCTTCGCTGCAATTGGCGCACATGATTGGTCCGCTTATTGCAGTTATATAACCTCTTGTAGTATAAGAACACACAATTCTTCCCCTTTACTTTCTTTATCTTAACGATTCCTCTTTGTATATATCTAGTTATTAGATAGCAAGGCATTTCGCCACTGTTAAAGTATGTTTGTTTGCCCTAAAAGTTAAATAAACGTATGTAAAATAATAAAAATATCAGAGGTCCTCCATAGGATTAGGCACTGGACGAGTCGATATTAGCCAGCTGCAGTACAGATAGTCTAACATCGATTCAAGCACCTACTAGGAATCGAACCCAGTACCTCTAGATTACTAGATCTAATGCATTACCACTAGACCATTGGTATATTATAAGTAACCAAGAAGGTACATGGCATTATATCACTGCCGTGAGGTCCTGGCCCGATCGTAGCATCACTATTCACCAAAGTCAGCAAGTAATATTGCTTCCTTGCAACGCATGAGTTATTGTAGCATTAGTTTGCAATATTGGTTTGTGCAGTTTCTTGCTTATTTTATCTTCTATATTTGGTCGTGGGAGGGCGATAGAGCATGGTAATATATATAGATATCTACTTTACCGCTCACCTTGATCCTTATTCTTAAATAACGAGCCGAATATTGATATATCGCCTCTTATTTTACGTAGCTAGTAAGTGGTGTTTGTCTGAGATTTTAAGATTACTAAGGAAATCAGGATGTTGTTGTAAAAATATATATTTTATACAAACAGAAGTTAGTACACTCACTGAATGAACTTTATAAGATTTCGTAGGTTGACTAAATCAGGCTATTATAGATAAAAATTATTACTAAAGAATACAGAAGAGCCTATTATACTTATATTTTACTTTAAATTAGTATATTTACTTAAAAATTCAGGAGAAACCAGGTTTCTATTTCAAATTGCTTGAATTTGGTGATTTTTTCCATTGCGGTTATCTTGTGGTTATCCATGATAACCGCAAGATAACCGCGTTAAAACCGCATTAAAACCGCACTACCATCGCTAGTCACCCAATTAACATAGAGTATAGTTTTTTGTACAGGTCGAACTCGCGGTTGCGACCTGTTTATCTCCTAAATAATAGGGGAATTCCTGTAAGTCCCTCTCCCTTTCTCTTCTCCTGATGTCTCTTTATTATTTCTAGTTTCTAATCTTTAGGAACTTACGACAATGTCTCAGTCCCAAGTATCCTTTTATTCTGATTCCTTTATCAATCCCGATCTTCTTCAATCAGATGACCTTCCTGATTTACCAAGCAGTCAACCAACTGTGACTTCTATTCCTTTTACTCCCCCCTCCGCGATTTTCTTATGCGCCGAAGTCACTTGAACGTGTCGGATCTACACTTCGAAAGTTCTGGATTCTCTATGCTACTAAACCTGAGATGGATGACTCCCGGAAACAATTCGTGGAATGGTGGTTAACAACTACGTTTGGATTGAACTCTCAATGCCGAGATAGCTTACATTGGGATGGGAAAAAAACATCAGTGCTTTGGGAGCATTTTGAACAGGTTGCACACGAGAAGACTGGCGAGCCCAAGGTTATGTGTAAGCGGTGTTTTGCAACCCTTACTCATCCAGGTTATAAGCGTACGGGAACCTCTGCACTTAAAGCACATCTGAACGGTGGTACATGTCGCTTAGAAAAAAAAAGAGGCAAGGGATTGACCAGTTAATACGTGAATCAGTACGTTTTGAATATTGTTTTAAAGATATAGAGAGAGACTACTAATATTAGTATTATCTAGCCGCGTGCACTAACAAAGGTCTTTACCAATGATCTTTTCCAGCGAAGAATTCTTAACTTTATTACCACCGCCCGTCTCCCATTTCGTATTGTTGAACACCCAGAGTTTAAAGGCCTTCTTGAAGCTGCCCAACTCTCTGAATCAAGGCTTGATATTCCTTCTGCGCGGACTATCCGACGACTTTTAGACAACACTGTCCAGGAAAGGCAACAAAATGTGCTTAGCAAACTTCCAAAAGGAAGCTATCTCTCAGTTGCACTTGACTGCTGGACATCTCCCTTTTCCCAGGCATTTATGGCAATTACTGGATATTTTCTTGATCAAGAATGGAATTACTGCGAGGTCCTTCTTGGTTTTGAGCATCTCCAAGGATCGCATACCGGTGCTCACTTAAGTCAGACTGTGATTCGAATACTCATGGAACATAATATTGATAATCGTGTATTATCAATTACCACAGATAATGCGTCAAATAACAACACCATGATGGTAGGTGTCCAAGAGATGATTCAATCGCAAGCTCTAAGTGGGACTTCTGTCTTCCGAATTCCATGTATTGCGCATGTTATCCAGCTTAGCCTAAAGGATCTACTTGGAAAGATAAAAGCAAATCCAACAAATAAGGAAGCAGAGACTGAGTGGTCTGATTCGCGTACACAGTCACTACAAACTAGCTCTCGGCAGCCTACAAGGAATATTATGGGAACCTTAAAAAGGTAAGTATATCTTCGCGCTCTCTTTATACTTATACTAATATATATTATCCTTAGATTCGAGAGCTCGCTGTCTTTATCAATGCTAGTCCACAGCGCAGGGAAGCTTTTCTTACCCTTCAAACTACTGAGCCTAAGCTTGTTCCGATCCAAGATGTTCGCACACGCTGGAATTCTACCTTTCTGATGCTTAATCGTGCCAGGAAATTACAATCAGTCTTTGATCGGTATTGTATAACATATCAACATATTCAATTTAAGCTAGATGAAGAGGAATGGCGCCAAGTTGAATATTTGCTTCTGATCACTAAGCCTTTCTTTGATTTTACTAGTGTATTATCAAAGACCAGAGATGTTACAGTTCACCATGTCTTCAGTATCTATAATCGGCTATTTAATCATCTTGATGACGTTGAGAAGAAACTGAAACGTAAAGCTGTCCCATGGAAAAGGAGAATGCTTCAGGCACTTCAGTCAGCAAAAAAAAAGCTCTCAAAATACTACACTGAAACAGACAATGAGTCATATGGCACAGTCTATGCGATTGCAACAATTCTCTGTCCATCAAAGAAGACTTCGATACTTTGATAATGCGGATTGGAGAGGAAAAAATGAGAAAGGAGAGGAAGTCGATTTCATGAAGCATTACCGGGAGGTTTTACAGAAGGAGTTTAAGCGATATCAGCAGCAGGTTATCCAGGAAACAGAACCGGTTGATAACCAAGCAATCTTTGATCCTGCTGAAAATGAGCTTGAGCTATTATGTGAATCACAGACAGCTCTACAAGCTGAAGTGGATCAACCGGAGGATGAAATAACACGGTATTTGGCAAAAGGTACATATTCTCTATTTCTATACTATTCTGAAGTTAATTAATTTTATAGGGCTCACAAAAGGTAATCCTCGGGTCTTCTGGAAGGAGCATGAGCACGAGTATCCAGTCCTTGCAAAGATTGCACGAGATATCCTCTCAGTTCCTGCAAGTGGCGCTGGTGTTGAGCGGCTTTTTAATTGTGCTCGTGATGTCTGTCACTATCGTCGGGGACAGTTAAAGCCAGGCACAATTAAAGATCTAATGCTCCATCTCTTCTCATCTAAGTTTGATCTTGAACAAAGCGAGCTAGAGATGATTAAAGAGTATCTCTCTGTCGGAGAGGCTGCTATGCTTGATCAGACAAGACAGCCTGTTCCATCGCTTAATGAACTCGAACCAATTAGTGATAATGAAGAAGAGGGTTGCGAAGCAGAGGATTTATCTGAGGATGATACAGATGAATCTGATAACGAGGCAGAAGAAGGGTTATCTACCACGCAGCCTGTAGCTCAAACTAAGCAGGTACAACGGAAGCGGTGCCGAAGTAACACCTCTGAGGCTATAGATGATGCTGATAATGGTCTCCCACTTCCCGATATGCCAATTGAGAAGACGCAGGCGCGGTCAGGGAGGGTTCGGAAGAGGCCTAAGCTACCTGAGGGATTTGAGATTGATAAGCTGTAATATTAGAGACTTAGAAGAGAAATCGAATTTGGTCTAAAAGTGTATTCTAAAGGTTTCAAATTAAGAGATATAGGTAATCTATTACATACTAGATACTCCAAAAATACTGCGAAAAGTGCACAATTTATGCATTCACTGGAAAGTCACGAGTTTCAGCATGTTTGTAATGTTTACATATCCATGGATAACCGCAAAACCGCGGTTCTCCAAAGTGAAAACCGCAACCGCCCACAGTGCGGTTTGCGGTTTTAAATCAGCCCCAAAACCGCAAATTTGCGGTTGCGGTTTTGGTTATCCGCGGTTGTCCATGGTTTTGCCGCAGTCTAATTGTTTGTATCTAGTTTTATTTACTTCTCCGCACCGCCCCCTCACCACCTTTCTTTCTCCTCCCTACGCATGAAATTTTCGTTGAGATAGCACCAATTTCATCAAATTGCTTGGCCGTCACATAATTTCATGCGTCACTTTTATCATTTTCATCATTAACTTCCCTTTCCCTACACTGTACGCAGGAAGCTGTACCAAAACAGCGAGCTGCCGGTGTTTGAGCCCCCGCGTCATTTGGCAACGCTACAACGGCCAAAACAAGAAGATACGAACCCCGCGAACAGAACGATTAGACGATGGCTCGTGAAGCCAACCCCGAAGCTGTCCCCTTGCCCGGGGCCGGATACCGACGCCTGACCCAGCTGCTTGCAGGCCAGGATAATGAGGAAGACATATCCCGTGAAGATTTCCACAGCATGTACACCAGAGACCCAGAACACGCGTTTGACGTGATCCTTCGCGTCTTGAACTATTTGGAAAACAAGGCCGACGAGTTAGAGGCGACTGTCGACACGTTGAACACCGAAAAAGACACATTGAATCAGGAAAAGAAGAAATTACCGCCGAGCGTGATCTGTACGCAGTTCAGTTGGCCCGCGTTGGTTCCCAGGCTGGACGAGCCGCCAACGAGCCCCGTAAGTCGACGAAGATACCAGATCCCCCATGTTTAGCGACGGGAAAGATATAACCTTTGAAGACTGGAGCCTAGCCATGCACCAGAAACTGGACGCCAATGCTGATCACTATAGTTCCGCCGCTCTCCGCAAGGCATATGTCACCAGCCGTTGTGAGGGTGACGCCCGTCGCCACCTAGTCCCCCGTCTGCGTCCTGAAGCCCCTGACCCCTACAATGATGCTGAAGACATGCTCGAGCACCTAAAGACTATTTTCACCGACCCGAACAAGGCTCGTAACGCACGGAGGCAGTATAACGATCTGAAGATGGCCCCCGGAGACAAGTTCTACGCGTTTATCTCGAACTTCCGCTACCTCGCGGTGGAGGCGAGCGTTGACAAGGATTATTGGAAGGAGGATCTTTACCAGCGTCTCCCATCTAAGTTGCAGGAGCTTACCATGTCCCGCTTTAATGATGACCACGTTAATTTCGACCAGTACGTCAGCGAGTGTGCGCGCTCAGCGGATTTAATTAATAAAATTATAAAGCGTCGCAACCGGACTACCACTACTTCATCCGCCCGCCGGCAGACTTCTAACTCCACTGGAACGGCGAGCCGATCAACTCCTGCAATTAAGACTGAAAGCTCCCCCACCAGGCCGCATGTCAACCGTGGACCCTGAAACTCGCAGTCGTCTTATAACGGAGGGCAAGTGTTTCCGCTGTCAAAAGCCCGGTTATCTTGCGCGCGATTGCCCCGACAATAAAATTGCTCAGATTAAGGCGTTGGAAGAAAGAGTTGCAGAGGAGCCAGTAAAGACCTTGCCTAGGGGAAGTCTCCTCCCTAGGCGAGGTTGATGTTAGTCAAGAGACTGTGGACCTGCGGAAATTGCTAGGCTGCCCCCAAGATAGTTTTACAATCAAGACCCTGCTATCTCAGAATGCTTTTGCCTTTTCGTCACAGACTTTAGCTAACACCGGAGCCAATGCGTACGCATGCATAGATACCAAACTAGCTATCCAGTTAGCCAGGTTTTTAAAACACCTATGATCCCCTGAAAACAGTGAGAAAGGTCACTGGTTTTAATGGCAAGGCCGCCACCCCTTTATCACATGCCCTGCGAGTTAATTTGACAGTTGATGGGCGTCCTTTTCCTAGTACACTTTTCTTAGTCTCGACCTGGGCTCGCACGATGTTATTCTGGGCCGGATGTGGTTCGCCAAACATGGCATATTACTTGACTGCGAGCACCGCCAGTTAATCTGGCCAGAGCGGCTAAGCCTACAAGATGAGGTTAAGGCAGGCCTGCTTACCCAGATCCCGCGGGAAATCCTAGAGCATAGGCCAGTTAACAGAGCACATCAGCAAGACGTTGTTCGCCGAGATAGGCTGCTTAAGCGCGAGGACACACGAAAGAATCTCCAGTCCCCATGGAAGCTTCCACGCACTTACCAGAGCGATCACCGTGAGGCAATGACTAAGATGAATCGAAATCTTAAGGAAGAAAACAAGTATCAGAGCAAGCCATCTCCGCAGATATTACCCCGAGAGACCTGTTCCCGCCGCCATTGAGATCGCTTTAATTGGAGCCACTGGTTTCCACCGACACCTAGTAAACACACGGACCGAGACCTTTATTACTTCCCTAAGTGCTATTGAGAAAGCGATTGAAGAGAAGACTACTCCTGATAAGAGCAAGGTCTCCGAGGAAGAAAAGGTTAAGAGAACTTTACCAAAACAGTACCATGACTTGGTAGATGTTTTTCCAAGCAGGCCTCGGATACGTTGCCCCCCTCACGCCACTGTGACTACAGGATCGAGCTTAATAGGGAAAATCCCCTGGGAACCGCCCCTCTCTATAAAATGACCGCCGAAGAACTCGAGGCTGCGAGACTCTATATTATCGAGAACCTCCACAAGGGCTTTATTGTTCCAAGTGCTGCGCCGTTTGCCTCACCGATTCTTATGGCTCGAAACCCGGCGGAGGGCTACGCCTCTGCGTGGATTACCGCAAGCTTAATGCCCTAACGAAAAAAGATCCCTATCCTATCCCGCTAATTGACGAAATGATGGATCGCCTTAAACATGCCAAGATCTTCTCAAAGCTTGATATTTACCAGGGATTTCACCGTATCCGCATGGATCCTGGCTCGGAGGACCTCACCACATTCCGCACCCGCTATGGTACCTTTAAATATCGAGTTCTACCATTTGGGCTTACCAACGGTCCCGCAGCTTTCCAGCGCCTAATTAATGAAGTGTTAATAGAGTTCCTTGATAAGTTTGTTACTGCGTATATTAATGATGTGCTTATCTACAGTAAGAACGAGGCAGAACATGAACTACACGTCCGCCAGGTCCTAGAACGGCTGCGAGCAGCAGGCCTGCAGGTTGCCATCCATAAATGCGAGTTCCATGTCACGAAGACCAAGTTTCTCGGCTTTATTATCGCTACCGATGGAATCCGCGTGGATCCTGCAAAGATAGCTGTTATTCAAGGATGGCAGACCCCACCCACCGTTCGCGGAGTCCAGTCATTTTGGGATTCTGCAACTTTTATCGGCGCTTTATAAAAGCCTATAGCCGCATCGCCAGGGCATTGATAAAGCTTACCCGGAAGGCCACTGCTTTTATATGGGATGCGGCCTGTAAAAGGCATTTGAGACCTTAAAGCAGGCCCTGACCTCGGCACCAGTGCTCGCGTTTTATGACCCGCACCTCCCCACACGCCTGGAGACCGATGCCGCAGACGGAGTAGTTGCCGGGGTTCTCTCGCAGTTGGTCGACGGCAGTTGGCACCCTATCGCGTATTTTTCAAAGACCATGTCCCCTGCAGAGCATAATTACGACATTCACGACAAAGAGATGTTGGCGATTATTCGAGCACTAGAAGAGTGGCGCCCCGAGCTTGAAGGCTTGCAGAGAAAGGACCACTTCGAGATCTTTACTAACCACCGTGCTCTTGAATACTTTATGACCACCAAACGGCTCAACGCCCGCCAGGCCCGCTGGGGCGAGATTCTCTCTCGATATCACTTTATTATTAAGTATCGTCCTGGGAAGCGGAACACGATTGCAGACGCCCTTACCCGTCGGGATGGCGATGAACGACCAACCAGTCAGCACAGAGAGCAGATCTTGCTTAAAGAGGAGTGGCTTGAACCCGGGATTCTTCCCACCCCCGTGGAAGTCGCCCCCGTGGAGGAGGCCATCCAAGTGGTTGACCGCGCGCTCACAGCGAACCGCACCCATAACTCCCTGGAGACCCTGCGTGATCTCGCTCGCCGGAGTGAGAAAGGATACACTCTGGTGGACGGCCTCTTGCTGTTCCAAGACCGCCTGGTGGTCCCTGACGACGGTGACCTACGGGTACGGTTGCTGGACGAGATTCACCGACAGCCATCTACCGCGCACCCTGGACGTACCAAGATGCTTGGGCTTGTTAAGCACCGTTATCACTGGGATACCTGGAGCCGCGATGTCAAGCGCTATGTTGACAACTGCCTGATCTGCAAACGCAAGAACAACCGCCGGGACTTACCGCCGGGACTGCTCCAACCACTCCCGATCCCTGAGCGTCCCTGGCAGCATATTTCTATGGACTTCCGCACCTTCCCAAAGGACAAACACGGCTACGACACTGTTTTTGTAGTGGTGGATCGGTTAAGCAAGCGTACTGTCTCTATTCCATGCTTAAAAACAACCACTTCACAGGGCATGGCGAAGCTCTTTATCGAACGGGTTTACCCCTGGACTGGACCACCGGACACGATCGTGTCAGATCGCGGAGGGCAGTTTATTGCCGAATTCTGGGACGAGCTCTGTAAAATTCTTCAGGTAAAGCTCAAACTCTCTACTGCATCTCACCCCCAGACCGATGGCCAAACAGAGATTGTTAACCAATATACTGCTCAACGCCTGATCCCGTTTGTTAATCACTTCCAAGACAACTGGTCAGAATTACTACCGCTGATTGACTTTGCCGCCGCTGCCCTGCCGCATGAAACAACTGGCCTGTCTCCATTTATGGTAGAACGCGGCTATGAGCCACGTACCTCGTTTGACTGGAACTCCCCGCGACCTCCTGGATCAGTCGCGGTGACCCGCGAGCAGGCCCGGGACCTGGCTAAGAGAATGAAGCAAGTATGGGACTTTGCCCGTGGAAACATGCGCGATGCTCAGGAACGACAGACCCGCCAGGCAAACCGCCGGCGCCGGCCAGTTAACTTTAAAGTGGGAAATGAAGTGTTTGTGGATGCGCGTAATTGGCGCTGGGGACAACCATCACGAAAACTCTCCGAAGGGTGGTACGGCCCGGTGCCTATTATTGATAAGATCGGCCATTCATTCAAGGTCTTGCTCCCTGAAGATATCCGTGTCACCCTATCTTTCATCCCGAGAAGTTACGTCTTAAGACTACAACGGACCCCCTACCGGGGCAGATCCAGGACGCCTCAGAGCCCATCCAAGTGAACGACCACACCGAGTGGGAGGTGGAGGAGATCCTTGCAAGCCGTGTACACCTGGGACGCCTTGCTTACCGCGCGAAATGGCTTGGATCCGATGACGCCGATTGGACATGGTATCCTGCAGGGGATTTCAAAAACGCTGCATTTTTACTCCGGGACTATCACAACAACAATCCCACCCGCCCTGGACCCCCAAAGCGCTTGAATATATGGATTGCGGCTGCTGAGAAGGAGGAATTTGTTAAGGACCACCTGGATGATGACGTGCCCCTGACTGAGGGCAGTCAGGCCTAGAAAGGGGGGTAATGTGACGGTGCACATGGTCTGTTTGCATTGTTTGTATCTAGTTTTATTTACTTCTCCGCACCGCCCCCTCACCACCTTTCTTTCTCCTCCCTACGCATGAAATTTTCGTTGAGATAGCACCAATTTCATCAAATTGCTTGGCCGTCACAAGAAGAACTAATTAACTTTAATTTATTATAGCCGTGTTGCAAAATCTGTTGTTTAAAAGAATTAATTAGACGGGACTAATAATGTCTCCAGGTAGAGAGAATAGTATCCTAATTAATAGTAAGTATTATATCTTAATCTGTTACCAAGATTTATTACCTTTGGTGCGGGTATACTGGTTAGCTTATTTAAAATATCTACTAAAATTTTAATTACTATTTTATACTCCTTTGTAGCTATTACTGCTTTTTCCTAAGCCTCCTAAAGTTTAAGCTGCTTTTTATACCACTTTTTTAACTTCTTAGTGTTAAATCTCTCTTGCCATAACTATACGATCGCAGTATCCTTAAGTTATTATTTTAGTAAGTCAGGTGCAGATTTCCTATACTATTATTAGATTATTAAGCTATTACTAAAAGTTGTTACTTATATACCAGATTCCAGTTGCCTGGAGCTTTTTAAAATAGTTAAATTTAGCCTTGCAGTCTGTATTATATCTCCTCTGCAACTCCTTTTCAGGGCCAGTCTTTACCTGATAATATTCCCTTGCCTTGACTACTTGTTTAATAGTAGATATCTTGCGTGGCATTGCATAAAGGATTGCTGGTAACAAGTATTAGAAGAAGGGGTTAGAAATACAAGCAAGAGAATAAAGTAAAGTAACTACTAGAAGGAATAAAAAAAACAAAATCAGAAGTAAAGGTAAGTAAAAAAAAAAAAAAATAAAAAAAAAAATAAGCACTTATATAAAATAGTTAATTGTTTTAAATAGTAAATAAATATTATTTACTAATTTACTAATTTTTATACTCTTTTTTTTTTCTATTCTCTTTTTTTTCTTTACTTCCCCTATTTTCCCCCCTTTTTTATATTTTTTTATATTTATTTAGTATTTTCTTGTTCCTTCAGCCTGCTACAAGCGAATACTGTTAGTATAATACCACCAAAGGGTAGAAAACATGCTGGCGGGAAGAGATTGCCTGGTTAAGCTACCAAAATATCTCAGCAAAAGGCTAGAATAGCTACCTTAAAAAAGCCCAAGCGTACTTTATATATTTAAGGCAAGTAAATCTTACCTATCTTTAGTAATAGAATAAAGTAACAGTCTTTAGTCTTTAAAAAAAATAAGGATAATCTACATACAGCTTTTGTAAAAAAATACAAGGCATGGAATACTCGTGCCGCTGTATAGGCTTTTAAAAAAAATAGTTATACTATACAAAACTATACCTTAATTAAGCCAGCTCCTGTCCCTAATCTTAATATTCTTTCAAGTAAGTATTCACAAACCTATTAAGTAATAATTTTTAATAATAACCTTTTTAAAATCCGAGCGTGAGATTTATTACTACTTAACTAATCCTGGCCTAATTATTCCTAAAACCGCATTTACACGCCTTGTCCGTTAAGCTATTAAAAAAATTAAGCCTGAGTTTCGCATAACCCAGCAGGTAGTTAATACTCTGCAGGAGATTATAAAAATAAGCCTGACGCACTTATTTGCCTGTAAGTAACAGCTTTTAGTAATAGTAATAAAAAGCTAATAACTAACAGGCTTAAATAAACTTACATGTTATAAAAAACATGCGACTTTTATAGTTAAGGATATACACCTTGTTCTTAAGATTATTTAGGAATCTTCACAAATAATTAGCTTGGAGCCTCAGGGCCCTTCCAGGATCCCGAAGAAACTTACCGAGAAGAAGAGAAACGCGATTAAAACTATTAGAAACAAGCTATATAACACTGCGCTTTTCCTTTAAAATGCTGCTACTAGTGGCCACGAAGATTATACCTGCCCACGGCTATTAACTACATCGGAAGTTTTTTAACTTAAGGAGGATAATTATTACCAAGCTCTTACTCGCCAGAATGCAACTCAGGAGGATTCTGACCAATATAATTCTAATTAGGGGGATACTATTACTATATCCTGTTACAAACCCGATTATATTATGGTTGAGGATTCTGATATTAATTCAGACGAGTATCCCGAGTTCGACGGAGAAATAAATATTAATGGATTAGAGTCAGAGTCTGGCTTTGACTCTGACTTGGCAACTAAATCTAGTGTTCAGGATGATAATGAACAGCATAGTGATAAACAGGATAATTATAATAAGAATAGTAATAAGGACGATAACGAGTAGGATAATAGTAAGAAGGGTAATAATTAATATATATTAGACTAGTTAAGAGGCTATATTATAAGGTTTATAATAACTTAGATTTATAGAGATAAACAAATTATTTAATATATATTAGAAATAAAGTAACAGTCTCTGGTAACAGTTATAAGAAAATCCCATCCCTTGCCAAGACTTTCGGGAAGGGATTCCTATTAAATAGGATTCGGGATAGACGTACCTTTAAAATCAGGTCCTGTTTCCCATCCCATTTCCCATATGGGAATTTCCCTTGGGAATTAAGGTTAGAAAGGGAAATTCCCTACCCGAAGTAAATTGTAAAAGGAAATTCCCACCCCGTGCCAAGACTTTCGGGAAGGGATTCCCATTAAAAGGGATTCAAGATGGGATATTCCCTTTCCCGAATTTTTCAAAAAAATTGTCCCGATTTTACGGGAAGGGAATCCCACCCCGATTTCCCATGGGAAAATCCCTTCCCAACGGTCAGCCTAGGTAAGGAGAAGACATCTCAGGGAATACAGAGAATATTCAAGCTCTTATAGAAATCCAAATATTTTGGACAACTTTCTGGATCAAACAGGCCTTAAAAAGGCCCCGAAATTTAGTGGTCGGTAGGAATAACTAATATTCGCACGTGCTCGAATATTCGTAATTGTTAGAGCATATTGCCAAGCACTGGCGCCCTGCCCCCGGTTTCGACCTCGCTTAGTCACCATTTATGTAAGCTAGCTCTTAGTAGTAGCGGCCACCCGGCCACCCATTCAATAGGACAAGCAATCGCTTCCAACAGTAATTTCGGATCACGTGGAAGGCAGTTGACCACTATGACCTGAAAGTTGAGTGTACAGTAGCATTCATAGGCTTGTCGTTCAAAGTCCAGTCACATTTAGGTCCTGACAGGCCAACTCGGTCCAGATCTTTCCGATGAGCGAAATTACCGGGAATAATGGTAACAAAACCTACTTGCTTCAGCTCCGTTTGCATCCGAGGCTAATTTGGATGATGTAGTGCTGTCTTGGCGCAATCATACTGTACCACAATAGCTGTCTTGCCATATTGGTTGGTCAATCGGTGATAACTTTAATATCTGGCCCACATATTTCGGCGATAAGTGGGTCCTATAATGTCAAGCTTTTTGTCCATTAGTGAATTCATTGCTCGACAGCAGAAAGCATAGGTAACAGACATTATAGACAATTTAGTCATCCATCCTTACGGGCGGCATTATAAAAGAATGCTAGAAGCACAGCTCCTAAATACTCGACTTTGCAAAGAGCTTATATTCTGTAAACCATATTCTGCCCGTCTACTTTTCTGAATATATTGTTCTAGGTTACTTTTCATCATGCCTTCCCACGGTCAGTACACCACTGAGAAAGTCTCCTACCCCTCTCACGGAGAGACTGTCGCTGGAGTCCTCTTCCGCCCCACGAATGTTTCCAATCCACCGGGTATCGTGGTTACCGGACCTTATTCATTTGTCAAAGAGCAAGCACCCTTCCAGTATGCGACCCGGCTAGCTGACGAGGGCTACGCCGCTCTTATCTTCGACCCGCGCACTGTGGGAGAAAGCACTGGCCAGCCTAGAAGACAGGAGAACCCTAAAATGAAGAACGAGGATATTGTCGCGGGACTTAATTATCTTGTGTCACGGGGAGATATCAACAAATCCAAGCTCTTCTTGGTGGGGGTCTGCCAGGGTGGGCCGGAATCACTAGATGTCGCGTCCTACGATGACCGGGTTATCGGCGCGGCGTCAGTCACCGGGTACTTCCGTGACCACGAGACAGATGTTTACATGATTTGTGCTGGATGTGTTTCTGCCGAACCCGGAGCAGATATTTCTACTATGAAAATGCCTACGGCAGAACAGGGCGAAGCTCTCTATCAGGCACGGCTCGAGCGAGCAAGGAAGGCCAAGGAGCTCTACGAGCACACCGGCGAGGTTGTATACCAGCCCCTCGTGGATCCTAAGGCCGCCGATCCCAACAAGGGGTCCAATGCTGGGCTCCCAGGACCAGTAGTCTGGCAGTGGTATGGCCCATGGACTCTGAGAAGCGAGTTTGAGAATCGCTATGCCATTATGAGTGATGTGGATCACTTTGACTACACGACTGTTCCTGGAGTGGCCAAGCTGACCAAGCCTGCGTTAATTATCCACGGTGATAACTGCATGAATGCGGCAGCCGCAAAAAGACATTTTGACTCGATTCCTACCGAGAAGAAGAAGCTTATCTGGAATAACGAAGTTTCGCACTTCCAGCATTATGATCAACCAGATTGTGTGGATCGCAATGTTGGCGATATTGCGGCCTGGTTCGCTCAGATCAAATAATATGGAAGCCGAGCCAATTTTATACGATACATGGGTCTAACTCTGGTTATCTGCCCAGTTTTCACGATAGGGTTTTACTTATGGAGTGGTCATCACCCGATTTCTCTTGGGGTTCGAAGCTCTCGCCATGTACTCAGTCCTCTATATATAAAACCGTCAAAGAGATGAAATATTGCATGTTTACTATGTTCTTATAAGCAAATCTGCAATGGGGACTTAGTCGAGGGACTTATTTGTGCTGATTCCTCGTGTTTTGCCATAGCTGCAAGATCTATATTGGACTTACGTAATACTGGACGTCGACATGCACTTGGTTATAGCAGTTTTGCACATCGCCGGTTGACGGAGATAGTTCTATAAATGTGGAGGTAAACGTATGCTGAATCTAACTGAATACGTAAATCCAGCCTTAGAACCATATGGTAGTAAGACCTCCAATTAGTCTTGGGTGGACGTGCTCGGTCGTGGCGGAATGGCTGTCCCCGATCGCTGCGGTATAGGTGGAATAATTGGCTGAGTGTCCTTATTTGCTTATTCATAAAGAGCGCCGAGCAAATAATTACACCACAATTCGACTACCAAGTATGTGCGGTGTGTTTCAATATTTTGGTATAGATTTACTGGGTAAGTAGAACCATCGACCAACTTTCCGGTTCTCGGACTTCGGAGATTATGCCCTACATTTCAGTTTCCTGAACTTACCTCCGCATTGCGGCCCTTGGTCCTAAGAGCCTTGAATTGCGCAAACAGTGGGTCGGTAAAATTATGGGCCCCGATTAACTTTTACTGCATGCGGATATCCCTAACTACCCGATTACTGGTTTGGGAAATCGGTCTAGGGCTTGTACTTAAATCGACACGCTTTTTCTGGGTTTAATTTCCCGTCTCTTCATCCTCCATCTTAGCATTCTGTCCATGCCACAATGGCCGGTGCCTCAGGGATTGATGCCTCTGAACTCCAGCCCAGCCCGCGGTATCTATTTCGGCAGCCGCAGGCGCTGCAATGGTTTGAGAATAGGAAACTTGTGAAGCGCCAGGAAGGGGAACGTCAGGCCGGTGAGAACTTTCACCCCCTTTTTATCTAGAGCACTGGATAACGGCCTTGTTTTTGCTGACAATTACTTGCGCAGGACGTTTTGAGCTTTTCTTGGACCTTCTCTATGTCGCCATTCTTGCGAACTTCGCCGAAACCCTAGCCGAGGAAATTTCGGGCGCGCACCTCGTTAAGTATATTGTACGGTTTCGTCACAGTGTTAGGCGGAGATAGGTACTTGCTGACCGGTTGGGTTGGAAACTGGCTGTTGTGTAGCTCATCCTCGCACCCACCTGGCATATTTGGTCCGACCTCCGGGAATTGATGAATTCTTTCTATAATGATGACCTGCTGCAGCGCGTTCTCATTCTTTGGGTCATGGCTGTACTTGTAATGTATGGCAACAATGCCCCCTCTGTTGATGAGGATATTGGCGCTATGAGGGCCACTGTCGGCTCGTACATGGTCGCGCGCATCTCATGTGGCGCAGCTCACCTACTGTACTCCTTTGCCAGCTATCACCACCGAGCACAGCAGCGGTTGTGGGTCGTGCTCACGTTGTTGTGCCTCTGCATCTACATTCCACTGTACTTCGAGTCTGTATCAATGCGCGGTAAGATCGCTGCGGCCGCCGTCGGTGTATTTATCGAGGAGTGTAGCTGGATCTTCTGCTACTCACCTGCGGCCAAGAAAATGCTGAAGACTACATACTCAACTGCCGTCGACATCCCACATGAGGTTGACCGGTTCGCCGCATTTTTCATCATTGTCCTGGGCGAATATCTATACCAGATCGTTGTCGGCTCGCCTGCAGCTGTGGGCTTCAATCCGCGCTTGATTCATGCCATCTGGACCTTGATCATTGCCTTTTGTCTGAACTGGATATACGTCCACAATGACGGCGCACTTCAAAGCACTCATCCGCTCCACTATTCCGTCTACACCGCATTCTCGTGGGCTGCTCTCCACCTGCCCCTGGTAGCGAGTCTGCTGGCAAGCGGCCATGTTGCAGCGGCCAGCGCGGCAGAGGACAAGTTCCGTCATGCTGAGCGTTGGCTACTTTGTGGCAGCCTTGGGACCGGCCTGTATTGTCTGTACGGTCTCGCGCTGCTATTTGAGGACAAGGATGCACCAGGGACGTTGATGCTGCCGAAGGTGAGTTCTTCTGGTCTAGGACGAATGTACGTTCATGTTGCAGGAGACGTGCTGATATTGTCTTGCACAAATAGCATCTTCGCATGATCATGAGGCCCATCACCGGACTAATTATCATCCTTCTTGCTAACAACCTGGATATCACATCAGTCCTGTCTATTATCATGGCCATGATAGTGTTCTGCTTATTTTGGGAGAACGTGACCTCTTTGCATCGCGATGCCGGGATATGGGAGCCTTGGGAGAACACAAGACACCCCGAAGGGAGGATCACCTCGGATGAATTAACTGTACCTGTGATTAGTGATGAACCATCCCATTCAGCGACTCCATAGTTCCCATATTGTGTATCTGAATTATGTGGTGGGATAACCCATGTCCATCATGCTAACACAACAACGACCACGACAACGACCCCGGGAAGTATATACAGACCTGAGCCTGGATTGTTACAGTATCAGTAGGGCACTCTGCAGCCATTAATTGTCTGGCTCTGGCCTAAAAAGCATCTACACAAGTGTCATATAAAGTCTAACCACTAATATATACTAAAGCTCCTTTATATGATACTGCCCATAATATGAGAAAACGTTATATACCTGATATGTGCCTTTGATTGGCTAATCCTTGACCTTCACAACTAGTTATCTCAAACTTGATGAATTAAGCTTGATATTAAACTGTCTTACAAATGAACCCTCGAAAAATCGCATTACAACGATACGGGAGCGTCGGATGGCACGCATCGCCAGGAAGAACAATGGATTCCTGCAAATCACTATAGGGAGAGTGGTTAGATGATTTTGTTGCTCTACCTGACACCATGACTCCAAGTCCTTCATCTGACCAGCGTACAGCATGGCTACTGCACGCCGATTGTGTAAGCTCGAAGTACCTATAGGGCCTCAAGATAAGATAGTTGTGAAGACCGGCGCTGAATCGGTTTGCGTTGCTTGATTGCTTTGCTCGTTTGCATTGCTCGTTTGCATTGCTCGTTTGCTTTACTCGTTTGCTTTACTTGTTTGCATCGCTCGTTTGCTTGACGTTTGGCTGCGGCAGATGGCGGTCGGCAGTGGTAGAAGGGGGAATATTTACTACTCCTTGACCCCCCTGATTCTTTCCTTTCTTCTTCACGTTTAGTATTCTCGTTGACACACTGAATGGAGCTGATTAGCAGCAGGTTTCCCCTCTATTTCATAGGTCATGACCATAGTCTCTAGAATCAGTATAACTATATTACAAATGACTGAGCGTGCATACACTACTAAGGTAAACGAGTAGGACTGAAGTAAAGGATTGTCTGTATCTCAGACGACCTTGGGTGACAGGTATGGCACGGCGAACGGATCGATCACCAAGAACCAGCAACATATTTAAGAATTACATAAGAGAGGAACCAAGATGCAGAACCATGATAATCACTAGAACTATTCCTAGTCCTAGTCCTTAGCCTGGCAATATTTCGACCCCAGCTCTCCCTTGCTATACAATCAACTGTTCAATGCATCCGCCCTTTACATGCCTACGCCTTTGAGTTAATAATATTAGCGTCGAAGTTGGTCTCCTGCGTCGGATGGCTTGGATCGGTATAATACGCCATGGTATCCAGCCGGACGAGAGTCTGATGATCCGGAAACAGATTCACGGTGGCCAAGGACAGAAGGAAGCCCATCTCACGCACCTTACGGATCTCGATCCGGCCGGTGGCGCTGCGCGGCAGCAGGCGCAGAAGCAGATACACATCGCCTCCCTGGTGGTCGAACTGGGGCAGGACGTTGAAGCGCAGGTTATCGAGCATCCTAGGTCCTGGGCCGTCATAGTCCTGCATGAGGGTGTGGATGGTCGGATTGACGGGCCCAAGACGGATGCGCACGTCGAACTCAGTGAGCTGGTAGGTGGAGGTGTCATTTTCGCTCACGCCGATGGCAAAGATCAGGTCCTGCGGCAGGTTGTCGCCAACCTGCACGTAGCTGAGCCCGGAGGTGACCACGCTGCATGTGTATTTGGGGAACTGGGCGGGGGTGTCATCGCCTGTGACTTGGGGCGAGGGGAGGTTGCGTGTGCGGATGGCTCGGACGTGAGGACCGAGACTCGCGAGAATGTGAGGCCCCGGATGGTAGCCCGCGGGTCGAGAGAAGAGGGTCGTGACAGGCCCGCGGTCGTCGTCTTTTGCTGGAGGCTCATCTGGGGGCTGGGGAGAAGAAGAAGAAGAAGAAGAAGTGCCAGTAGGGAGGAGGGGGGCTACGCGAGCGGGTTCCAGGAACCGTAGAGTCCGGGGCCTTGGCGGCGCCGCCAGAGATTGCAGCGCCGGGTTGCCCTGCAGGCCGATCTCCAGGTAATAGATGGGGTCGTTCATCTGCAGAGCGAAGAGAGCAGAGGTGGCGGTGTCATCGTCGAAATACTTGGTCGGCGTGCTACCGGCATCGTACGTGCCCATCTTCTCCTGGAGATACTGCAGTTGCACGTCCGCGAACCGCGGAAGACGCAGAATCCGAAGATCGGCGGTCCCGGGCTGAGACCCCCAGATGAACAGGTTGTCGGCGGTGTCCGGCTGGTATTTGATCTCGGGCGTAAGGGGGTCATGTTGATTCACATCCTTGTCGCGAATGCTCTCGTCCACGGTATACTGGCGGCGGATGTCGACCTTGACCGCCGTCACATCCAGTCCGCGCGCGACGGCAAACCGCTGCTGATGCGGGGGCTGCGTGAAGGTGAGACCGGTGAAATCCTCCGACCCTGGGGTGCGATCGAGAAGACACAGCATGACGCCGTCGGTGATGATCTCGTGTCGCAGGAGGGGGGCACGCTTCGGGGGGTTGGACTGTTGCGGCAGGGTCTTCACTCGCAGATCGGGAAACATGGTGACGAGATCGGACCGCAGAAAAAAGCCATAGGATGGGACCTGCGTCTCCTGGTCCAGCAGCTGCGGCCCCTGCTGGATGTAGTCATTGAGAGCGGCCTTGATGGCGGCGCGGTCCGGGTCGTCGCCCTGATGGTTGCCGAGACTGAGGGCGCCGTCGATCAGGGCGTCCACCCAGTTCTGATCAATGGAGAAGAAGCGTAAGGACTCCGGCTCGAGATGGAAGGGATCGGAGATGAGGTAGTGGGCCGGCACCCCGTCGAGGAACATACGGTCCATCAGCCACTTCAGGACGACCATCCAATCATTGGAGTTGGGGGCATTGTGTTCGTCGTACATGGACCCGTCCGGGCTCTGGGCGAGGTGCCGGGCCAGTTTGATGGCTTCCTCGAGGTAGATCTTGCCAATCTGCGGGGATTGAAACCCCAGCCCGGGGATCTCATGAGGTCGCAGCCGATGACGGTGCCAGCGCCTCCGCGGTCCTCCTCCCACGAACGGGGGCGTTGCGCCAGCTGGGGGGGGGTATGGAACATGGACCTGATGTAAATGGGTGACCATGGTCGGTAGATCCTTCAGGAGGTCGGTCCTGGTGCGCAAGGCGTCGGCCGACTCCTGCTGGACCACCCGGATTTTGGACGCCTTCATGGCGCCAGTGTGGATGGCCCGGCGCAGACGCATCAGAGCCGCGGTGAAAGCCTCGTCGCCCAGTGCCAGAGTCCGGCCCAGCTGCCAGGCCGACGAGTACGACACGTCCATGATGCCCACCTCCTTGTCCAGGATCTGCAGGTCAATGCCCGAGTTCGAGCAATGGTTCATGGTCAACGGGGGCACGACGGTGGGGGTCAATGGGCCGCGATACAGAGCGACGGAGCGCTCGCCGGTCTGCGTGCGATATGTGACGAGCGAGTAGCCATCGTCGAGGCGACAGGCGATCCGATCCGAGACTCGGTCGTTTCGGGCTTTCAGGGCGGCGATGACGCTCTCAGGGGGCCGCAATACGCCCAGCGTCCGTCCGAGGGCCTCCATGGCGTCCGGCACATTCAACATCCGCGGCGGTAACACCGTGTAGGTCCAACTGTGCAGAGAACACAGCGCGACATACGGCTGGGAAATGGGGAATTGCATCGCCTCGACCCCCTCAATGGACACCAGGTGCACCGAGACCGTCGCGGGGGCCAGGTTGTCTAATGGGCCGGCGCGATTGCCCAGTACGACGGAGAAAATGCCGACATCCTCGACCCCGGACACCGCCATGCCGGTGGTATTGATGTTGCGCACGTGGGAGAGGAACTGGTACGGCATCGTATCCGGCGAGGCCGGTACCTGTCGCTGGCTGGACTGGTCGAAGGTCGAAAAGAGACTGGTGAAGAGCTCCGCCGGGACAAAGATGAAGTCTCCTCGCGCATCTTGGATTGTGCTGGGCTGGAGATTGCTCACCGGGGTCACCATGTCCGTGGTGGCACACAGGTCCGCAACCGTCATGTTGATGGCCAACGTTGACGACTGCTTCACCGGTTTCTGCAGCTGGTCCGAGGTTTTCTGGAACATGCTGGCGAGAGCCTCGGCGGACAGCTTCAGCTCGTCCTGGGTGAAGGAGAACACGGCCAGCCAGGGCACGCGATTCCGGTCCCCAAGATGTTCTGGGGTCTTTGGGCTCCCTCGTCGCTCCCATGGGAGGTGTGGATCGGTCAACACCACGTGGGGGAGAATCCGATGGTCCTCGCTGTATCCCGACGGAGGATACACGGAGTGGATGGAGCCCTCGGGGAGGGTAAACTGCGGTGCATCGACGGTAAAGTCTTGTTGCCCTTGCAGCACCAGGGATTCATCTTGATTCGGGGTCTTGATGGTCTGCGTGACATTGATGCTATACGATGGGCCCGCCTCCAGGCCGGGAGCCCAGTATGAGTCGACCTTCTCCTCCCCAGGGGCGAGCGTGGGTTCCGTGACTTCTTCATCGGGTCCCAGAAGGCCCAGCGATTGCTTTTTTAGCCCAATTACCCGGCGGGCATGGCGGAGGGTGAGATGGCGCGGCGAATTGATTGCGGTGCTCTTTCCTCCGGTGAAAATCGCCATGAGTACAAGCTCAGACACGGGCTTCTCATCGAGTGTGGGCTGGCAGGTGCAAGATGGAGTGCTCGGGGCGGATTTGACCGAGGCGAGAGGAAGTATTTCGTGCTTCTGGGAACTCGAACCCGACTAGGAGCAGTACGATCAAGGTCTATCTGAGGGGCAGACAAGCTGGCTGCCTGGCATGAGTTGGCTTGGAGAACTGGATTGTGCTGAGCAACCCCGCAGAAGCCACTCTAGCCCTGCAGGAAGGGTGATGAATGCGCATCCCCGTGCAGCTGGCCACTTCATCATGCGTGAGGGGCCGAAGTGATGGCTGTAGGCGCGTACATAAAACTGTATGTAGGATGCATGCAAGTGTCTGGTGTCTGGTACTTTCGATGCAATTCTGGTCCATACCAGGTCGGGACTTGTACTGTATTGTACAGTACGATACGGATGCCACCAATGGAAACATTTGCCCTGGTCTGGCTGAGATGCAGGTCAACGTGTCGAAGGGCGACGGAGGTAATGTAATCTGGGCCTAGGATATATAATGCTGAGTACTGTCTACTCTCCCTGCAAGACGCATCAATCATCTCATCTCACATTCAATCTCCCAGACACATTCTGCCCCAGCCTCACCATGCCCGGAGTCGCATCCATCGTGAATAAGTCCGTACCTGACGATGCGCAGATCCATCAGTTCTACAACACGACCAACCTGAACCTGGCTCTGAACTTGATGCCCGGTAACAAAGGCGGAAACGCCTTGTGGACGGTTGATCCTGATCAGGACGGCAGTCATGACGGTGTACTCGTGGACAAGACATCGCTGGCTACGGCCCGCTTCACGGGTTCCAAACTGGTGTTCGCCCTGACGCACCCCAAGCCCCCCTCCCCCAACGATGAGACAAAATATAACGTCTCCATCGTGAGCCCGGGGTATATGCCTCTCAGGCCGACTGAGATTACCAATCTCAGCGTTGGGGCTTGCTCCACGGACCAGGAAGATGAGGCCTTCGTGTATTATCTAAAGTATGCTTTATTGGAAAAGAAAACAAACGAAAAGAAAGAAAGAAATAAAAGACTAATATCCTGATAGAGGAGTCGATGCGCAAAGTCTCCAGCTACGCGAGTTCCTCGTCTCCCAAGGAGACGATAGACCCTATCCCGACGCAGTTGTACGAGTGGGCTCAGCATTGGCGGCCTATTGGGCTGGAAAGCCATACGTCATCTACCAAGGACGCAACAGTCCCGATCTCGTGCTATTTTCACCGCAGGAGGACACCGGTAAGTGGCAACATGATGCTGACAGACTCTGTAATTTGATTCTCACTCGGGACAATGTAGCAATTCCGATTTCAAATACCGGCGACGCTCGCATCGGAACCACCATCGCCGCCACCTATGTCAATGGCAAGGCCTACGTGTACTATACAGACACTACCCTGAACGTGCGCAGGGTCGTGGACAATGACGGCCAGTGGACGCCGTCGAAGATCGACTCCGACCCCGTGGATGAGACCAGCCAGTTGGCTGCCACCACTGCCAACGGGCACAATCACCTCTTCTACCTGGCATCTACGGACAGCGGTGATAAATTCACCCATCATTTGGATCCGCTCTAGGTGGGACACTGGCACTGTGTAGAATTCAGAGTCGAGCACCAATGCAAGGGGATTTGTTAGATATCTTCCAGACGTAGCGTCTATCTGACATAGGGGAACATCCCTCCAGTACAAATGATCTTCCGCACATGCCCGGAATAGATGTAGAGTACGTTAGAGGATAGCAGATATACGATAAGACCAGGATAGAGAAAAGAAAGGCCGCGTGAAACGGCTGTAGCTTCGGTCTATGTAAATGCTAGTCCGATGGATTGTCGCTCATAATGGGATTTCTCAACTGCAGAAACCCCTCCACCACCGTATACGGGCCATTCTGAAAGCCCGGCTTTAGAATATCACCCTTCCTCTCGATGCCGTATGAATTGAAGGCTTCTGCGCCACCGTTGTCGACGTACGGCTGAAGCCAGTTCCAGTCCCCCGTGGCCAGAGCGGGCAGGGCCAGGTTATCCGGCGGCACGTTCTTCATATTCTGTGTGGTCAGCTTGCGGCTGGCATCATACGGTTTGACATCGGCGGTCAGCGTCAATGGACCCGCGTGGAAGAAGGCCGTCATGCGGTTCATTGCGTCTTGCCAGGTCCACGGGGCGAGCTGAAGGGGCTGTGCCGGTAGGAAGGAAGAATACATGTGGACGGGGGTGAAGGGGTCCAGGATGGCCCCGTACACCTGGAGCTGTTGGTTGCGCCGGTCCGTGTAGTCCTGCGGGCTGACGGGACTGGCAGCAGTGGGCGGTACCCAGTATGGCTTGAACGCGGGATAGTTTTCCCTGGTGAGAGGCTTCAGGGGGTTCATGGGCGTCTTGGGCGCGAAGTACGTATAGATGTTGTCAAGGATCAGCTCGTGGCCCTTGTCGCCCGGGCCCGGCTGTGGTTTTGCATCAAAGTACCCAACCAGTCCGTCGTATTCTCGGTCTTTATCTCCCAGCTTGGCCCGGAACTGGTACACCATGTCCCGATGAGGCGCTTCCGGACCGGGGTCCAGAAGCCATACGTCTGGAACGGAGGGGACGCCCACGGTGACAGTGGACTGGTTCGTCAGGGGCGGCCGGTCCAGCTCGAGGGACCAGCCCATGTTGACCAGCGCAAGTGGCCGGCCGACGATCGAGCTCAGGAACTGCCCGTAGGCGTCTGGGGCAGACTGCAGGCTATCCAACGCCTGGGAGACCATGTACCAAAACCCGCGGAGGTAGTCGGGCTGCACCAGACGGTCAATTAGGGCGTCGAGCTGGGCTGTGTCGGGCCCTGGCACTGACTGATCGGGCGCGAAGGGCATCCATTTGGGCTCCGCCAACGCGCCGTTGGGGCCTCCCACTCGCACTTCCCGGTAGAAGGTGCCATCGGGGAGAAAGAGCTGGATGCCGTAATCGGCATAATTGATGACCAGCCAGCCCCAGATGGGATTCTCCCACTCCGTAACGGGGCGCCAGTACGCTGAACCGGCGGGGGAGTCGTCCGCGGTGCGGTGCACAAACGCGGCGTTGAATCGAGAATTCTGATTGACCTGCGGCGGGATCTGAATGAATTCACACTTGCCGTCCTCGTCCTTAATCACCGTGTTGGCGTTATTCGTGCCTGCCACCACCTGAGGCTCGTAGAAGTCGCTGATGCAGGGATACAGCGGCGGGGGCCCGGTCAACCGGGGCTGGGGGTCCACCGCGCACAGGGCCTGACCGAACTTGTCAATGATATTGAACTTCCGGAATCTGAACTGTCCATGGGAGACGGGTTTGAACGGACAGTAGGATGACGGGGGGAAGTTGATCAGGGAGGCAAACGGGGTCAGGGCCGAGTTGCCCTCAATCAGACTGATATTTTGGGCCGTAAACCCGGCGTCAACCACCTCTGCGGCGTGGACCGGGTTCGTACGCTCCCCCTGGGCGTCGACGGTTTTATTCTCCGGCTTAATATGCGTGCCCTGGGCCAGGGTGAGGAGTCCGTCCGTCAGCCCCGTCAAGGGAGACGAGAGATACGAGAGTTCGCCGATGTGGTCCAGGAGGTTCTTGCGCTCCTCTGCGGGGAGGAACTTGTCGAGGATCTCCGGGGCCGTGTCTTGAAACAGTTGGTTCACCTTGGCTTTCAGGGAGAAGCTGGGCTGGGGGAGAATCAGCACTCGACCGGACAGGATGCGCGTGTCGTGGGTGGATGGGTCGCCCAGTTCCTCATACAGCGGATTGCCACTGGGCACCTCGACGCCGTATCGAACCTGCTTGTTGTCCGACAGACGGGCCGTCTGCTCGTCCAGAGCCCAGTATTGAAAGGGAACGTGGGTGTATTCCACCTCCCACTCGGCGTACAGGGGGAACCATGGCTGGCGATCGCCCCATTGATCCCGCCAGCGTCCGTCATCCTTGGTGTCATGGAACTGGGGGTAGCTTTTGCCGGCAGGGGGATCGCCCGATGCTCCACCACCGGGTCGCAGGGCGAAAAACTCGGACAGCAGGCTGGCTCCAGCCGACATGAGCTGCGGCGGCAAAGCCTTCTGCACCAGAGACGACAGTGCAGTCAGATCGCTCGGCAGGCTATCGGATTCGACCACTTGCGCCGCGAGACGAACGGCAATGTCGTCCAGATAGTCGGTCGGCCAGCCCGAGTCAATCCCGCCGACGAGAACCGTCGGGTCCCTCGCTTGGTAGAAGAAAGGCAGGGTGCTGGACTTTGCATGCACCAGGGGCGCTTCTCCTAGTTTATTGTCAATTGCCTTCTGGAGCTCCGAGCCCCGTCGCTGTAAATCGGCGATTTGCTGCGCAATCGCCTTGGTCTGCTCTCGGAACTTCTGGTTCGTGTCCGGGTCGTCTCGCTTGCTCACGTCACTTTGGTACTTCCACCAACATGAGAACATGTCCCACTGGTGCTGCTGGCAGGTCCGGCTGCACGCGTCGAGCAGTAGCTGATATTCATTGACCGTCTTCAGCGCCTCGACCCCCTCCGGGGTGGGCTGCGTGGGCCGGCCGTTCCCATCGTCTGCAATGAAATAATGCCTGCCGCCCGGCGAGCGCTTAAAGTTCCAGTTATACACGGTGTCCTTGGCCTCGCGTTGTCCTTCGACTCCATCATCGCGTGCGTGCAGTAGCGAATCGATGGCCAAGAGGTCCTCCTCCAGCTTGGCGATAGACGGTGGATCTTCCCCGGTGCCCTTGCGAGCGGTGCAGTAGGAAAGCATCGCGTCCATGGGAGTCGTGCCGACCGAGATGGTGGGCGCCTCCTGTTGTCCCAGTCGCTGGGCGAAGTCGTCGGCCGGAACATGCGCCGGTTTCTGGTTGTGATCCCACTTCACCTGGTACATGGCTCCATGGCAGATGAGACGGACGGCGTCTTTCGCGTTCAGCCAGTCGTCGATGGCCCCCTGATCTCCGGCCCGGCTCAGCGCCATGAAGAGCGCGTTCAGCCGATCCTGATGGGAAAATTCCTGATGGGAATCCCACAGCGGGTCGAGGTCGTCGGTCCGGTGCCAGCCGAGAAGATAGTAGCTGGCCTGGGCGCTGTCAAGATACTGAGGCTGAGCCGTGGTGCCGTACTGGAAATTGTCCAGGATGCTGAAGACATTGGCGTTGTGTAGCTGGAAGTCGGCGAACAGCTGATTGCTGCTGCGCAGCAGGGTGATATCGGCCATGTCATGGGGCGCATCATCTTTCCAGTCCTGCAGGCGCGTTCGGCGACCGATAAAAACCTCGGCCTGCTCCACGATATCCACGTCGCTGCCGGCCTGTCCGACCACGAACGGCGACACGTCCACCTCTAGATCCACCTCAGTTGGGATATCGTCGAGCTTCCAGAGGTAGTCGCTTTCAACCACCCACGCTTCGTACTTCTTGAAGCTCGGCTGGGCCTCTGGGGGCTTGACACTGTCCAGGTCCAGCCTCCTGACCACGATCCACCGCGTCGGTGGCGGGAGGTACTCTGGGGTGTTGGACTTGACCGGCGTCTCGTCGGGATCCTGGGGCGGCAGGCCTCGCTTTCTGCGGTGTTCCTGATGGCGCTTTGCGGACGCCGAATCCGCAGAGGCGATGCCCACGCGGTAGGTCCGAGGCACTGTCCAGTGCAGGTACACTCCATGGCGGTTCCGCCGGGGAACGGCCGGGTTGACTCCCAGATCGGACATGCGCGTGTTCAGCGAGGCTGGAGCGCTGTTGTGGAGGTCGGCATGGCGCAGCACATCATTTTGGATCAGGAAGTTATCGAGACGGAGGAAGGTGTAGTTCGGCTGCGTGATGGGGATGACCCGGCTGTTATTGTCGTCGGCCGTGTTGCATACCGCGGGGTTCAGAACAAATGCCTGCAGTTGCACAGGCACCAGAAGGGGGCTATCAGTCATGGTGGTGGGAAGTAGGAAGAATGAAGTCTTTGCTCTGGTTTGGATGGCCCCTGGGGGAACTATAGCCAAGTACTAATAGGCAGGTAGGAGCCCTAATTGGTAATTACTGGTAAAATACCACCCGGCGGCTTGTGATACCAATCTGGCGACCTGGGAGCTACATCACCGCCCTAATTCGGAGATGGCCGGTCATCAACACAGTTTCCAGACACCCTCGTAGTATATAGCCGTCTATCACAACCGCATGCAGCCTAGGCCATTGGCGGCCCAACTGCAGAGCCTGCAGTTGACCGGCTTGACGTATTCAGAACCCCCCTTTTTCACTTCATCAAGTCTCAAAAGTACGGCATGCAGGAATGCCCAATGACCGAGGGTCCCTGTCCTGCAAAAACCGGATGCTCGGTACTCCGTAAACTGTGTACGCTGGAGGTTGATTATACGAAATGATGCAGTTGTATGTGCGATGATACTATCTAGAAGCGACACGTCCCTATGACATACAATGAAGACAGCCGTGGGACCCAACAGGTATCGACAGCATCCCTCTACTCTACTCAGTTTGGGGGATGACGACAGGGTCAAATTTCAACTTGTCTCCCTGCCCAAGTCTTATCAGCTCCGCACAGTTTTCGCAAGGCGGTACCATATGCTGGTTTGCCATACGGATATTGAACTTGTTTCTAGTGATCTTGGCAACGTCTTTGGGCCTTGGAGGGAAGTAATCTCTCCGCAGCGCAAGTCCGTAGAGCTGCTCTTTCTGGGTCGGGCTCAACTCCCATTTCCTAGAATGAGAGCCTATGATGAGCGGATGCTCGAAGGGATGCGTACATGTACATGTACATACCAGAAGAAGGTCGTGAATGGATACGTTTCGGCACAGTTCCCGAACTTGGTGTCTGAGGCACCATTGGCCTTTGTCAAGGGTGAACATTCGAACGACCACTCATTCTCTTCTAAAGAAAAAGGGTCCTTAATAAGATTATATCGCGCTCGTTGGACTTTCTCCTCCCAGCGATCTGCCGCCTTTGGCTCGTGGCCTCCGAGGGAGTGGCCCAGGAGGAACTCGTCCTGTTTTCCAGGATTCCGATACCAAGTGCACTGGGTCATCGCGAACTTGCTCAGACTGGTCTTATCGGCTTCGAGGAGGCTGATGCACCACCATCCCCACATTGCGGTCATGGGCGCGTAGAAATTAGCCACCTCCGAGTTGGGAGGCGCCGGGCCCAACAGCCCTAAAAACACCCCCAAATGGGACCACAGGTTCCAGTACGATGTGTCTTTGTACGTATTATTCGGGTCAACTATGAGCTCCTTTGGGCCACCCTTAGGCCGTTCCAATTTTCGAGCGATGATTTGCTTCGGCTTTGGTAGCTCATATTTCTCGCCTGTCGGTGGCCTACAGACGGGTTAGAGAATACATCTATGCCATCCTGCAAATATATCGGTTGTCCATCTCCTACCATAGAACATTCATGGCGGTTTGGACTTCTTTCAACGCTTGCTGTTTGGTCTGATCTTTTGGTGCGAACTGCTCGAGATGCTCGAGTACATAGTTAACAAAACCATGGATTTTTGCTGCTGGCCACGAGGTGGGATTTCCATAAGGGTGTTTCTCAGGTTCCTCTTGAGCTGCCAAAACAAGCTCTATAAGGGATTTGGGGAATTCAGCCATGGTTGAGATCGCAGTAGGACAACGATCAGATGCTGAGGCACCGAGCCCTGAATATAGGACCTGGAACAATACCCGCTGTATGGTCATGACGAAACCATACCGGACGTACGGTAATCTACAACATTTATATACTTTGCATCCATCATCACCGTGACGTTCTCTTCTTCTGCACCTTCATTCCCACGATACCACACAGGCCACCTATCAGTACCAGTTACCCACCATGACTTCCACTAGTGGCTCTGTGCAGGGCTCGGTATGTACATGTACAGGTGCAATTCAGTCGGACTACTGACGGAAGCAGATCGACCCACCCAATGCCGACTGGACTGCGGCTGAGGAGGAACTCGACTGGGACTTCTTCTGGGGGGACAAAGACAAGGACGCAGTCATCATGGCGGATCAGTTCGGACTGCAGCAGCCCCTCAGTCCAGTCATGCGAAGCAGCAAGGCATCTGGCGGCAGCCTTTACATGGTGCAATCGGCGGACAAGTCATTCTACATCTGGAACCTCATCGAGGACGCCGTCTGGAAGATTGTCGACTCCGATACGCAGACCCTTGACGCAATTCTCAGCAAAATCAAGTCCAAGGGCCTGAAGGAGGTGAAGGTGGAGGCGGTCCGCATGGTTCATTGAGCGGAGAGTGAGCATGGATGGTCTTTTTTCTTCCCTTTTTGGACGAAGGCGTGGTGCACTACATAATGTACAGCACATACATACATATCACAGTTTCAAAGCCTAGTCATTATCTTGCCTCTCCGTCTCTTCCTTTTTTTTAACTGGTTCCTCTGGTTTGTCCTATTCTGCGACATACAGTAGGCAAAGTTAAGGCTTCACCCCTGCATATACGAGAATGCAGACGGAATCCGGATGCATCGTCCGGGTTTCCGAGGTGCCTGGCTAACCCTGGCATTCCGTGAGTTGCCTCTCGGAAAATCTTTTCCTTGGATTCCGAGCGTCGGGGAGGAGCATTTCCTAGTGTGGAGCGGGGTAACAGCAGCGTCTCGTATTATTACGCGTCCCGTTCCGTGCGGGGCACAACTGTGCATTTCCTCGGGGAGATCATCTGTCATCTCCACTCTGGCATCGCGTTCCGTGGCAGTCCTTCATTCGGTGGTCGGGGTGCTCTACTGCATCACCGGTCCAATATGGATCGTGTTCATACAGACAGCACTGGCTCTACCAGCGTAACAGTAAATAGTCGTAGAGATTGCCTGTCACTTTGTCGCCGCTCTCTGCCCGTGGATATGGCAGCGTTGCCGCACGGGTGCATCCCACGTAGGCGTGCACACCTTTCATGATAGCTTCTGGAAGAATCAGCGCCAAGGCGTTTCTCAATAATGCAATCCAAGATATCAAGCCTCGCACGCCCGGGGAGAAAGACCCTCCAACCCAAGGCCTCGCCGGCAAACAACAATTTTTACATCTACTCGAGCGATGCAACCATTGACCCAGGAAAGGAACATCAAGTCCTAACCAAGGGCACCCCAATCGACACCTTCGTATCGAATCTGAAAGACAAAGTCATCATCTTGACCGCGAAGCCCACGGCGCCCGATCGAGTCGCAAATTTCGACGCGTCAGACAAGTGGCTCCAGTGGTTTTCCCATCTGAACACTCAGCCAAGCGGATTTGTCTTCTCGTTGAAGGAGGATGACCAGACGAACATCCAAAGCTTCCAGTTCTCCTTCACGGCTCCATGGAGGGTGACTTTCAGTTCCTCCTCCGACGCCCTGATTTATTCCTTTGGCCCCAAGACCGGGTCCAGTCCCGCTCAGCCGCGGGTTCCAGTCCCTGGTATCAACGGAAAAGTGCTCTGCTGTGGCCTGGATCCAACGCAGCAGGGGACGCTGAGTGGCACAATCGGGGATGTACTCGACTTTACTAAGCTGAAGAGCCTTGCAGCATCCATCCCCAAGGCCATAGTGGACTCAGAACTCCGCCTGAATTTATCCGCGGCCCAGAACCAGCGCAATGCGCTGTGGCTCACCCCGGCCTTGGGCCTGGAAACGGTAATGAGACTCCAGTTTGAATTCGTCAACCTCGCCGCTGTACAGCAATTTCTGTCTGACTTGTTCACCATTCACACGGCAGGTCTGGTGTGCAACAAGGTCCTGGGCGCATTCGGAACGGCAGAACCGCCAACTGTTGTAGATAAAAGCTATGTGATGTTTCAAATGAATTGCGAGATAAAGCCTGAAAGCCATCCGTCGGTTATGGTCATCGCGGGAATCAAATTTCAAGGCTCAGCAATGATGGTTATCTTTAAACCGAAGTCGAACGACCCGCTTACGGGGATCCTAGCGTGGCTCGCTCAACTCTCTGGGGTTGCTCAGGATGTCGAAGGAATCTTTAAAGAGTCCAGCGCCTTCGAGGACACGCTCAAGCTGCGCCGGGTGAAACTTGGATTCACTATCGAAGCGCAAACTGGCAAACGTACCCTTAATAGCTTCAGGGCCGATATCGAGGCACAGGCTAAATTTGGCAGAGACAGTAATCCTGTGGTGTTTCTCATATCATACACTTGGTCGAAGGGAGCCGGCGTGGGCACCTTGCAGGGTCAACTGTGGACCAGTGCGTGCGAAACCCATCTATGTAAAAGCGACAGGGCTGACTGCATATAGGCCAAGGGGACCAGCAAGATTGGGATCTGAGCCCGTACTATTCAGAAGTTGAGGATCTTCAGCCGAGTATCTCCAACCCAGCCACTGGCATCAATCTCCTCAAAATCGTCCCCGGAGGTGACTCAATCCAGAATGTGCCTCATTATCTCCCCACCGCAATTACCTATGCTTCCATCACCCTATCATCAAAGAGTCTTGCCATACGAGCAACTGTTAAGGCTCAAGATACCCCGCCCGGCCCCCTTCCCCAGCCTTACCTGGGCCAGTTAACGATGGACTTTTCGTTTACTTGGGGAACGCAGAAGTCGTTCGCACTGCGCTTTGGAATTCTAGCAGGCATTAAGCCAAGTAGCGCATCGATTCACAAGGACTCGGCTACGTTGGTGGGATTCCTATCCTATGACTCGAAAGAACAGTCCTGGAAGGTACAGGCAGACCTCCAGGGACTCTACGCGTCTACCCTATACGATTTCTTCCAGCCCTCGGCGGCCAACCACATTATGCCATTGATCGAGTCTATCGAAATCGCGCAGTTGAGCCTGGACTATGAATATACGAAAACGCCCAACGCAGTTGGGAAGTCCTTCACGCTGAGTGGTGCAATTTACGTTGCCGACTTGGAGCTGGATCTTACCTTCACATACCAGACTGATTGGACCTTCACCGCGACCCTGAGCTCCCAGGACATGAAGGTCACGCTGGGCGATATCATCGCCAGTATCCTCGGTGACAACGCGCTCGAGCTTCCCGATTTTGCTGCGGATATGCAACTTGATGCTAACAAAGACAAGATCATCATCGACGTGAAAAAGGACGCGGACTCTTTTCAGTTCATTGCACAGATCCACATCGAGTCTCTGGAATTGATCTTCTGCCAGTACCACGGCGCTGACTGGGAGAGCACCATCCCGTCGAAGCGGATGCTGATGGCCGCTCTGACCGCATTGCCCCATATCAGCGTTCCCTTGGTGGGAGACCTGACGCAGCCTTTCGATGAGATGTACGTCCAGTGGGTGCAAGACGGTACGAAGCGGAACGGGAATAACAACCCTGCTGGCCTCACGCGCAAAGAGATCAAAGCTCTGAATCCCTCGCTGGGAGAGAAACCGCTGGTCCCGAAGGATCAGTTCAAGGACAAGACGGACTCGGATGTGCTCGTGGTAGCGGGTTCTCATTTTGCAGTCATCCTCAAGACCTCCAGCGGCCAGCGGAATTGTATTCTTGACTACGCCTTTGCGAAGCCGAAGGAGGCGGCAGTCTACGACCGGCGGATGGTCAGCAAACATGCAGAAACCGAAGAAGACGATAGTGATGCATCCAGCGCGCATGCCCCGCTGAAGAAAAAGGCCGGCCCTCTGTCGATTAGCAGCATCGGCTTTAAGTACTCGCAGAGAGCGCTCCATATCATGTTTGACGCAACCTTCGAACTGGGTCCTTTGGGCTTCACTCTCATCGGCTTCAGCATCGGCCTCACGATCCACAACCTTACCCCAGCTCTTGCCGGCACCCCCAACATCGACGGTCTGTCCGCGGCCTTCGAGAAGGCGCCGCTTTCTATTGCCGGGTTGATCCGACATGGAAGCAAGGGAGATCTGGAATACTATAGCGGCGGCCTCATTGTCGGGTTTACCCCGTATTTGTTCGAGGCCGCCGGCTTCTACGGACTTGCAAAAGGCCAGGACCCCTTCAAGTCCGTTTTTATTTTTGCTCGCCTGGAAGGGCCCCTGGTAACACTAGAGTTTGCCGAGATCTCCGGCGTCACCGGGGGATTTGGGTATAATTCCACCGTCCGCACGCCATCCATCGCCGAGGTAGTCGATTTTCCATTCGTTGCCACCCACACCCTGGACGGACACACTGGCAGTGCGCTGGAGGCCCTGAATCGCCTTACCAGTCCGGCCACCGGGGGCTGGTTCTCGCCTTTGGAGAACAATTACTGGCTGGCCGCGGGACTGAAAGTCGACGCTTTTAAGATGGTTACCGTGGATGCCGTGATGGTGGTCCAGTTTGGCACGGCGGTGAAGCTGGGCATCTTTGCAGTGGCCGTCACGGATATTCCTGATGCCAGCGCGAGTCTGAAATTTGCCCACGTGGAGCTAGGGATTGCGGTGGTGCTGGATCTTGACTATGGACTGCTCAAGGCCGAAGCGCAGCTCTCTCCCAACTCGTATATTCTCGACCCGAACTGCCATCTTACCGGCGGTTTTGGCCTGTGTTACTGGTTTGACGCTCCACACGCCGACTCCAGCAATACCGGCAACTTTGTGTTCACCCTCGGTGGCTATCACCAGGCGTTCCAGGTCCCTGCTAGTTATCCCAACCCTCCCCGGCTGGGCATCAGCTGGAATCTAGGTGCGAATCTTAGCATCACCGGCCAGGCCTACTTTGCCATCACCCCCAAGGCCTGCATGGGTGGCGGCCGGCTGCACGCCGCATTTTCGGCCGGGCCTATTGAGGCATGGTTCGATGCATTCGCCGACTTCCTGATCAACTACAAACCGTTCCACTTCCTTGCCGAAGTCGGCATCTCGGTCGGAGTGCGTATCAACATCGATATCCTCTTCATCCATACGAGTGTTTCCATCGAGATCGGTGCCGATCTGCATCTCTGGGGACCCCCTGTCGCTGGCCGTCTCCACGTTCACTTATGGATCGCATCGTTCGATGTCAACTTCGGCGACAGCGACTCGTCGACGCCTCCGGTCGACCTCGCCGGATTCTATGACCTGGTGCTGCAAGCCAACAGTAAAACTCAGAGTGCCAAATCCCACGCCCCCGAAAGGGGTCAGGTCATCGATGTCTCCGAACCCCATGTGAGACCATTAAACGAGGGCCTCGTCTTCCGGGGCCAGTCAGGCTTGATGAATAAAAGCGACGTCCCCGAGGTCCCTGCCAACCAGCCCTGGGTTGTCCGAGGAGGCACGTTCTCTTTCATCATCTCGTGCACGATGGCCATCGACACGGCGACTTGCAATGGCCAAAATCTCACATACACCACCAACCAGATTTACGCCCGCCCCATGCACCTCACTGCCCCCCTTTCCTCAACCATGACGGTCAGCATTCAGCAGGGCGGCGCCTCTGACGATACGGTCTGGGGAATGGATAAGTATATCAAGGCGAGTCCGAATGCCCTCTGGGGAGTATGTAAGTGACAAGCAGAACACCATATACTTTCCGCGGTCCACTTCACTGACATGCTGCAGACTCTCCAACTACGGACCCCTCCGGCGGAAACAACCACATCTCCGCACTCCTCAATGGCAACAACGCCACCACCCCGTTAATGATGGGCCTCCAGTTAACAGCACCTCCGCCGACCCTGTCCCCTGACAAACTGCCCCAGTTTAACATCGAACAGGCCGATCTGCAGCGAATCCCTGCCGAGAAGCCATTCCCGCCATGTGTGCCGTCTCACCCAGAATGGGAGCCTGACACGGCCCACGGGACGAGCCAGTGGACCGAAGTCCGCGACCACTGGGCAACCCCGGACTGGTCGACGGGTGAGGATGGCCAGAAGGGATTCGTCGAGACCTGGGCGAAAACATTCCGGTGGGATTCGGAGTTTTTGTCGACGTTAGCGCCGATGCCGCAGACGTTGAAGAAGGATTTTTTGAATTTGTATGTGGCGGCTCCGTTGATGACGAAGTGATCTTGAGCCTCTCCCTTTACTCTTTTGATCTTATGCGAGGTGGGTTTCATTAGTTTGTGTCAGTCTTGTTCCTTTCGCTTGCATTTCGAATAGTCACCATGGGAATCGTCTGTTCTTAGTCTCGGTTCTCATTGGTACAAGCCATGTCTTCTATGATGGAGTCTAGAGCAAAGCTTTAATTGACGTCCTATTCCGGGTTCTAGGACATTTTGCCCTATGAAGTAAACTATACAGAAATGGAGTTATAGAGAGTAGAATATTCGATCTATCCTAGATTTCGCCCTTCAAACGAACCACCCATCCTAGCACGGGGTAACAACCAGCCATCTGCCTAGGCAGGAAGTGGATGTACTGCTGACGCTCACGCGAACATGCCTACTAGGAAGGATGTTTGGGGACGAGTCTGGAAACAAGTGCATCAGCCTGTCCCGGATGCTTCCGAAAACGTCGACCAAACTAGGCAACAAAACTAATAGTTATTTGAAGTAAGCAGTCAGATAATTAGGACGCTACTTCGATCGGAAAGGGCTAAACGGGCTCATGGAAGTGAGTCTGGTTGCCATCCGTGAAAATCGATATGATGTGTATTATCTTCTCGACGCTGTATGTTAATTATCAAAAGAAGAAGCTTAGCGCGATAATCGCGAGTTGTTTTTCCTCCCCAGCACACTGTTAAAAAAATACTACAAAACGTAGATGCATATCGTATGCATATGCACCTAAGCTCGCACGCGGATTTTGCATGCCTGAGCAGAAGAGGTCTCCAGATTTGGTTGTCTAATGCTGGCACAGAAATATCAGTACAACTAGTGCATCAGATCATGTTGTTTATGAGGCTCGGTCTCATCATAGGCTGGCTGTCTGTCCCGAGAGCGCCGAAAATGATCTGCAATTGTCAGCGGTATTATCGAGCTTGAAAATTCGATGAATCCATCTAGTGTATTTTGTTGCCCGTGCTGCGTAGAAACTGAGCTCCTGGAGTCCTCAAAGCGATCTGTGCGTTCAGAAGTTGGAACCGCTCTGGGCCCATCTGTTTGTGGCATCATAGTTGGTACCATTCGTGGAGGTGGGCCTTCTACACTAACTTTCTAATACAGGACACGGCTACAGTGGTTGAAAGAGCTAATCTAATAATATAATCACTTCCCTCGAGACGCCACGAAGGCATATACCGATGGCACCGACCACAGAAGCAGAATTAGGGCCTTGGCAGTTATTACGCACAATAGGAGTCTCCACACTACCTAGATAAAAAGAAGATAACATATTAGTCTAAAGGGAGGACTGGTGAGAAGTAATATGGCACTTGTATTAGATCAATACTAATAATACCACTGCTACAAATAACATGTGATTCTATCTGACAGTCAAGCCGCCATCGGCGCCGGCGGAACCCGCGCGACCATCAGGCTAATACATTCTCCGCACATCGCCGGGTACGCCTCCAGCGGCTTCCAGGCCACAAGAAGACGCCGGCAATAAGCATGCAGATTACCTGGCTAAACTCGCCGCTGAGCTAGCCGTTAACAACACAGCAGTGACAGAACCCAGGACTCTCCTGTCTGTGCATGTCGCAACCGCCTACACGAACCGCGCAGCATGGAGAAACAGTAAACATTCTCTCATCACGACAAACACACCAAACAGGCACTGCCTGAGACCACATAGCACGTGCCGGATCTCCACGAGGGTCTTTCCCGCACGCACAGCTCGGTACTGATATAGATACAGACAGGTAAAATTTCTCTGTTATCTTATCTAGAAATCTTTAGTGCCATAGATATAGCCACATGCCCGTGCGGGTATGTAAAGTAGTCGGTCTAACATGTTCCTATCTTATACTACCAGCATGCAGAACTGCGGTCATTGATATTATAGAAAAACTGCCGAATAACTAATTATCCGCGGTATCTAGACGCCTCGTCGGCCGCAGCTGACCTGACGCAGCGGGAAGTTAAACTACAGACACGACTTAGCCAATTCAGGAGATTGAACGACACAGCTCCTGCGCCACGTAACCCGTAGGTGCGCGCTTTTCCGACATGCCGTCGGAATTTTATTTAAACAGTGGCCACTATTTCTTTTCGAAGGCTGTAGGCGTATGACATAAACAAACGGGCACGGAACCGACAATCATCAATTCAGGCGTGGAGGTGGAAGAGATGGTGTTAAGTCAGGTCTAGGAACAAGCAGAGAGGATAGAGAGTGGTATATATGATCTACTAACGGCGAACGGGGGACGAGGCGGTTGTTGGTTACGAAATAACGCAGAGAGGTTGGACATAGGGGTAAGGTCAGGGAGGTTGAATTAGAGATTGGAGCTAGGGAGGTTTGATCCGATGGACGGTGGACACGGCTTGCATTCCCTGTGGTCCTTCCTCGGGTCGATCCCTACTAGTCCCCGAAAAGTAGGTGTCTGATCTTCCAGAAACCATTCTAGAGACGCCAAGTGGGGCGGCGCCATTTCAGGTCCAACTGTATCGACTCCGTGCCAGAGGATACGCGGAGGATATACGGAGTGTACGTATAGTACTTCCTATGCAAAGGGCCAAGCGACCCTGCAGAACGGCCCCCAAAAGGACATCCAGCCTCCGACCAACGAACTTGCCAGCGGAATTAGCGTTCTGCATCTGTTTAGCGTCTTGTCTCTCTCCCTATACAGCGATGTTTAGAGGGCATCCGTATAGATGGTGACCAGCTGGTCCATAGTATGAATACCTCCTCGCTGCGTTTCTGTTCGGTCCAACATCATCACAGTCATTCTTTTTCTTCTCTCATTTTTCTTATCAATTCTTTCGTTATGGAATCTTTTTTTTTGTGTTTGTGTTTTTGAATCATAGCCTTATGCTGGGTTAACCCCAACATGATTCCCAAAATATATTATCTTTTATCCTATCTTTACTCTACGACTATTATGTGGGGGTCGGTAACGAACTGAATGGTGCGCTATGGTGCGAAAGGGAGAATCTATAGGAGAGGGAAGATATGACCACGTATATTGCAGAACTAATCGCTGGCCTTCAAGAGTTCAGGCCCGCGGGTGCGAATATAAATACTTCGCAACTGACTAAGCATCTTAGCTAAGGATCTAGCTGTCGCGCTTCTGAGCGCTCCTAACAGAGACTCCGAGGGCAAATGGCATAGTGGTCAAGAAAAGTATTCATCATGGGTAGGAAGTGATTGTCGCATCGAACATCGAACCCACCTCTTGGGGCGCTTAGTCAGGATCTACTCCAATTAGTTACGCTTCAGAGCTGAAACAAGTCTACCAGGGATGCTTTCGCTATGTACGAGCTCTTGTCTACGGATTTCAAGGTTTGACACTGTCCCAGACCTATTGATTCTTCTATGGCTACGATAGCAGAATTTAAAACAAGCCCGGTGACGGCCTTCACGGCTGTGAACCGAAGTTTGTCCTTTGCCAACAGATAGGAAAAGAACCGGGATATTAAGTATTTCTTGGTGCAAATAATGAAAAGGGCTCGAGATGAAGATAAAAAGGTAGCAAAACAAACACACCCATCCTAGTTGGCCGGAACTATCATCTTTTCTACCTACGTACATTACAAGTTGCTCTGAATCACCGGAGGACGCTGGTAATATGTCGACCAGTCTATGCTATCACGGATGTGCAGGAACCCCCACGCCTCTGCGTCATCATAAAGCACTTTCATCCAGCCGACATCCTCCAAAGCACATCCCTCCAAAGGCTCATACTCTTGCGACTGGGCAGATCTCCCACGCTCCGCCAATTCATCCTCGTCCAGTTCCTCCGGCTTCCAAACCCCATTGACCAGGCGCACAAATCCAGTTTTGTTACAGTCATCCGGATCAGGCGCGCCTAGTACCGACTCTAAAGCTTCCTGGCCCACCATAACAAAGAACCGATAACGGCCCGACTGTGCGAAGCGAGCATGATCAACGCCCTGCTCCTCTTGTGGCGCCGTAGCAGCCCACTCTTGGAAATGCTTGCGTAGAAGAGTGGTGTTCGCGCCGTCAAAAGATTGGTCTTCGAAAACTATAGGGGCGAAACTGTCTAAGAGATCCAGACCGTTGTAGAATTCAAACTTTTCGGTGATACGGTAGAGAAAGAAATTCATGAACTTTTCCCAGTCAGAGCCGCTTTGATATGTGCAGCGATAAATCACGAAGCCCCAGGTTTTGAATCCGTCCTTTTGGAGGAGCCGTTCCAGTTCGTCGGCGGTGTTGTAGGTTGTTTCCATCGTGGGGTCCCGTTTTGATGGCTGCATGGGCCGGTCTTTGTCGGGGATCTGCGAGGCACTCGTTGTGGTTCGGAACGGGTAGAAATGCCGAGCGCCGCTGCGGAAGCGACGGAGGGTGGGGTGTCTGAGTTGGTTGTAGATGGGGCTAAGAATACTTGTTGTGTTCATTATAGGTTGGGAGAGATGTTTTGATTCATGGTCGGTGGTTGAACGGGCGGAGGAACTTGGGGATGGTAGAAAAGATGTTTAAGGGAAGCAGGGGGCGATAACGTATTCGGTAAGCGAGCCGGCCATGAAAGCGAGTCGGCGACCTCGTATTGCATATAATATAGGGCTTTTTAGGACCTAATATCTCAACCACAACATATCGAGAGGGCCTTAAATATATGATATACACTATTATTATACTAAATATACATATAGTGGACTGGAAAGCCTATTTTTTTTCTGGTTCTTTATATTACAATACATTCAATTGTATTTATCATATTTCCGTATTATAGAGTGGGAAAAAATAAAATTATAAATAAAATCTATATACAGTGTAAAACGATATTTATTCCGCCGGACTTAGGATTTTATGTGTACTAATAATATCTGTGGAGTTATTAAGAATCGAAAAGTCATATTTTATATGCAACAAGGTGGCCGGCTCGCTTTCATGGCTGGCTCGCTTACCGAATACTAAGTATACTACTTCACACGATGTCCCAGCATGGACTAGCTTTATTCTGACAGGTTCTGTCAGTCAGCTGAATACGTGTATGAGCTAGTATCACCGATCATGTAATAACATGGATCTACATTGAAAAGGATAAGGTCTCTTGAGGCCTCTAGCTATCTGAATCTATCTGGGAGAATTGGATAAAAAGGTGAAAAAAAAAAAAAAAAAAAAAAAAAAAAAAAAAGGAAAAAAAAAAAAAAAAAAAAAAAAGAGCAAAGTCGGACAGAGCGGATGCTGAACAATGAGTAATATTGCCCACTTTGGTCGACAGTTTCCAATGTTCCAGGTTAGAGTTCCTTTGATGAAACAACTCCTGCAGGGCTTCACAAAAGACCTAGAATTTGCATAATACTCTTTCATTATTCTTCTAGAAGTAGAATATCCTGCGTTCAACTGATAGTAGCTAAATTTCAGCTTGTCAGGTCGAGTCTCATCTCGAAACATCACGGAGTCCACTTAAGTATGCCATTCATCAGTGACGTAGACTTTGGCCAAATATAAGTCTCCCAGTGTACTCTGGATACCATGGAAGACTATCTAATTCTCCAAGTCACCAACATGTGCGAGATAAAACGTGCATGGTTCACGTGGATGCAGGTAGTCATTATGTGCAAGGAATTCCATCATCTGACATTGGTTCATCAAAGAGAGCAGTAAGGGACTTCATGTACCGGGATAGACTCCCCGGGCGGCCGAACTCAAACTACTAGAGCCTATATGTCTTGCTGAAGCCAATTTCGAGAATCATTGGGCATAAAATCAAATATAAATAGCTGTGCCGGGTGACATCAAAATAGGGCCGACTATTAAACGTGGGAGGAATACAATGCAGACCCGAATAATCCATCAATCCATATCCAATCAACATATAAATAACGCCCTAGCCACGAGTGACCCCAGTCGTTCGTTAATTATGTCGCGGATATATTAATGTAAACTCTGGATTTTGGAGTAGGCGGAGGTTATTGTGCTGAGACAGTGCTAGGTCTTCAATCTAACGACCCGCTGTGATTACCACCAACGTGACGGTTGGATCTTTTGACCTGGTCGCGTATTTCAGTAGGCCTTTACCATCTGCACCCACAATTATCTGATCAATAGTATTTTTATACAGTAAAGCTCTAAGTACTTCAATGTGCACTTATTCAGCAGCAGAATGCACGTCCTCCACAGCTATCCTGGTTGTTTAGAACTATTTTTTCTCTTCTTTCAGCAATTTGGTGATGACTTGTACTGTACAGTCCAGCGAGGTCCAGCAACCATGATATCGCGAATTTTCTCGATCAATTATATCGGAGGTTGGGCGTTGAACTTGGATCAGGTAGGTAAAAAGAAAAGTCACAATGATCATAAAGAGATCTTCGGTATTTAGACAAAGTGGACGAAGCAGACTCAGGGGGAAAGCCGAGTGGTTTCATTCCCAAGCAGATGTATGAGAGGAAGTTAAGGCTAGGAAACACTTGTGCAATGTTGGAGGGTGGTTTCCACCCCTAGTTTAATATTGTGTTGTTACTGATATGGAGCTCAGATCCCATTACAGAGAATGGATGTTCCCTTTATCTAGGGCCAGGAGGGCACAGGTGAGGAACAAGAAAAGGCCAAAAATAGCTAAACTAGATGATTAAGTGAGATAATACTCCATAGTTAACTAGTGGGCGGCACTGGTCGGCACGGATCGTATCCAGTGTGGAACTAACTGTCTTTCCGATGGATCTACTGCAAGACATGCCCGATAGGAATCAATTAAGTAATCCCCTCGTATGCATCGTCAGCTTACTATTATTATTACTATTATTATTTGTGGTTGAACCCTCCATACTGACATTTTCAGCGCATTCGGGGGGTGGTGATGTTTGCTGCTCGGTATTTTATATAACCCAGGCCAAACAGTCTCCCCACCCTCCCCTCCCATCTTAATCCTCCTCGCTCCTATATTATTATCATGGTATCCAAAACCCCCCTCGAACAGATATTGCAACTTCCCGCGGCAACTCCCCCACCCGGAGTGAAGCCCAACCTGGTTGATCCGCCTAACCTCAAGGCCGCGGGACTCGCTGTCATCCTGGTGTTTTGGATCCTCTGCACGGTGTTACTTATCGTGCGGCTGTACACTAAGATCCTGGTAATTCACAAGGTGAATCTATCTGACTGTAAGTGTTGTCATCGGCCCCGCACGAAAGTAGATTTTAATTAACCCCCGGTCAGATTCTATTCTCTTGGCCTGGGTATGAATCCTAGGACAAATTTATCGTTATTTTGTTTGTCTAGTATTAATTAATTTGTGCAGGCCATATTCATGGGCTACTTTGCTCCGGCCTGGCTAATGCTGCAGGTGGCTCCGGGGGTGGATCAATGGAATATGCGGCTGAAGGACTTTTCATCCATGTTATACGTACGTCTTCCTCGTTGGTATGTATAGCTAAAGCTTATACAGTAGTCGTCTGGACAGTATTACTACGTTGCGTCAGTCCTGTACGGCTGCATTATCTTCTTTATTAAACTGGCCATTCTGCTGCAATTCGTTGAGGTGTTCGTGCCCATGCGCCAGAGGGATCGCTTCTACTGGACCTGCCATGTCTTGATCGCTGTCAACTTTGTCTTCTACCTGATTAGTTCCTTCCTCGAGCTCTTCTGCTGCCAACCACGAGAAAAGTTCTGGAAACCCTGGCTGCAGGGCCACTGTATGAGCATGACGGCGGTGCTTAATGTCGTCGTTAGCTCTATTAACTCAGCCTCCGATATTATTATCCTCGTGCTGCCGCAGCTGCGTATCTGGGCGCTTCACATGCCGTTGGGTCGCAAGGTCGCCGTGTCAGCTGTATTTCTCGTGGGAGTAATGTATGTTTTCTTTTCTATCTCTCTATTTTTAATCTTGTTAAACGGAATCCAATATCAGGGCTTGTGCCGCCTCGGTCGTCCGTCTCGCCTACACCATCCGACTGTACGAGAGCGACAATATCTCCTACTCTAGATTCCTGGCTGGACTGTGGACTATCCCCGAGCTGTCCATAGGCATCTCCGTCGCTTGTTTACCCATCATGCCCAAGTTCTTTAAAAGTATCAACCTGGAGCACCGTCTGTCGCGTCTGGGCACCTCGCTGCAGACCTTATTCTCCGGCTCCAGCAGTCGTCATCGCTCGCAAGGCCGGTCGTCCAAGAACAGTGCCTCAAAACCGGATCCCTATCCTGCCGTGCCGGGGGAGGAGGGCTCCGAGTCCGATCAGTATCCGCTGGTGTCTATGTTGAGCCGGGGGAGTTCAAATCACCCAGTGACGACCAATGCGGCGGTCTGAGGGGATCATTTTCTGCAACTTTTAGGGCTTCTCGAGGTACTCGGCCGCCTCAACCAATAAGCGGCTATCTATAAAACACCACTTAAAGGTACTTGCTGTATCCCTAGCGATATCTTCACCAGCTCTTCAGGCACTCTGTCGTCTCCACCATTACCGCGCCTAGACGGACCCTTCCAGGTGCAATTATAAAATGATAATAGCCATTTGCGCGAGGTTTGGGTAGACAGTCTGGCGCACTAGTTCAAGCAACCATTCAAGGGCTGTTTGCCGCATATCCAATCGGAATAATAGTGCCTTTAATAAGTCGTCGAATTCTTCTATAATTACGCTTGACCTCATAATTTCAGCCCCCTAACGTTAAATAAAGTCGCGTATTGTATCAAGATCTTGCATGTGTGTTGAAGTGGTCGTCAGCTTAAAGTACAAGTACTCAGTCCATAACTTCCTCGTGGCGTTAATTGCCGGGTTGGTGTACCAGGGTTGGTGCACCCACACCTTTTTAAGATACTGCTTTCATTGCTCAGGATGGAGAAGTACTGATGCAACATATATAGAAGTTTTATCTGTGAGCCTATAGAACCTGTCAAATTTAGACCAGGTGGTTAGAATGCGTGAGGGAATCTGACCCTTGGTATTCAATGTACAATCCATGAAGGGCTGTAAGAATTCCTTGACATCTTTAAGCTCCTGCCAGTCATCTGGATCTAGTGTACCTCGCCTAATTTATCCCAATGCTCCTCGATCCAATCGCGTAGTTCTCGGCATTTGGTAAGTGCGACGCCAATCTCCATGCTCCACATTTACAGCGAGTATCATTACCTATTGGGATTGTGCGGCCAATAGGTTTAATAAAGTTTGGTATCTCTCGGTTGATACAGATATTCAGATATTAATATTAAAACAGCCAATCTTTCCCTGCAGCCTTATTTATAACCTCGATAAAGCCTGCGCCTCACCGTTACATGAGCCTTTAAGCTCTTTTAATAATAAGACCGCACCTAATATGGCGTGTCTCTGCATCGGTTCAATATAAAATAATGGCCTGGAAGCTTTTAGGGTGCCGTCCACATATCAATTGAGAAGTGCAGCCAAGAGACTGATTTATGTAGCTTTTGTATAAGCTGTTCTCGACGGAGGATATAAATTGTGGGACATTATTCCGCGCAACCTTAAGCATCTCTTTGGCCATATAATTTTGACAGACAGGATAACAGCCTAAATTCAACCCAATCAAGTAGTGAATGCGGAAGATTGGGGACTGCAACAAATCGGAGACAGGTTTCTTAACTTCAGCTTCTTGTATAGCTATACAGCGATGCTTCTCCTGATAAATATCATGTATTAAATGCGATACGTGAGGCACTTTCCGCGGTTGCTGCGATACGTAATTGGTTTGTTCTTAGATGTTCTCGAAGGCGTACTGAGGCCGTTGTACCTTTATAAGAGATACAGTGCTTGCAGTAGTAAATCTCTCGCTTGTGTTTGTTCCTCACATCTTCATCCTCCTTTGGAAGCCAGTATGACCCTATAAGAGATCATTAGATCGTCACTTTTTGCGTTAAGGCTCACCGTCGTGTCAGGCGTGCAAGGCTTTGTCTAATCTCAGTGGTAGGGGATGATAAACATATACTTCGTACCTAAGAACTTACATTTCAAACATGTCTGAAAATAATGCATTCTTTTAACCAAAAAATAATGTGACTCAGGGAGAAGGCAGTAGCCTCATCGAACAGCTGCATGCAACCAGTTGCCTAATATAGGGAACGATATATTGATATTCTAGACCGCTATATCTACCATACTTCCTTGGATGGTTTTCTCGCGCGCCTCTAGAATACAGGAAAAGGGTGGGGCACTCTGGTGTGTGAACCCCACATATTTGGCCACCTAAGATGCAGATTATTACTTTACCAAAAATCGAGCACCTTCTAGGTCTCCTGGGCTAATAATGATATTCTGCCTGGCACTTCTAGGCATTTTCGTGTCCCATCTTTTCAAGCCGACCAGGTGATCTTGTTTTTCCTTTCGTTGCGTTATCACCAAAAAACATAATTAGGCCAAGCCTTGTATGTGTACGGTAAGCTTGATATATATTTACATAACGACCGCCGGCATACTTACGCGTACGAGCTAACGTATTTCATTGCTAAATATACGGTCTGATTGCTTGAATCTAAGTAAACAGCATGATTAAGTACACATAAGAAAGGGATCGATAGTAAACTGAGTAATTAAGGTAAATATCGAACACGAAATAACATCATGATGAGCGGGTTCTGAATGTAACGTTACAATCGGGCTAATGTCTATGGGTTCGATGATCGCCAGAGTCCATCCATTTAAACGCAGGGATCTGCAGCACATATACAGCATCATGTCTACAAGGCTGAGGCTTATCGAAAGGCTGCTGGGCATAAGCCGCCCCTAGCTGGTCTTAAAGCTTGGGAATAGTTCCGGGCTTTCGGACTTCCAGGCTGTTTGAGATTTTTAGTGCTTTCTAGCAAGTAGAACGGACAATATATATACGCTCTTTACATATATATATTGTAATATTCTGTATCAATAAAGCGTTTCCTACAGCGGGATTTCCAATTCTTGATATCGTTGCAGCCGGTCTTTCCGCCTTCCAAGCCACGAATTCGAGTGAGATTTCTGCACATTTTAGCAAGAAAGTTCAAGGTGGTGGATGAAGGGATTACCAGATACTTGGGTGCCTTGTCTATCATTTCAGCTAAGGTTTACTGCCCCGCCACGTGTAAAGGGCTAGATATAGCCTATTTGACCTCTCGGGCCAATTGACCACATTGACACATTGACCCTACCGTCCCTACTATTCCCATTGTCCCTTTTGTCTCTGTTGGCCCCATTGGCCCTCGATGACCCACAACACGTAGCTTTCCTCACTTTTCCTCTTTCTTTCATCCAACCATTCCTTTATGTAGATAGCCTAACATATAGGTTCTGCGGGCTCGGCCCCTGACACTACGGCCAAGAATGCCATAACACAAACCCGTTCCTATCGTACACTCTCAACTTCTTCCACGTTATAGGCATGGTCGATGAGGCTTCCGGCAAGCGAGGTCCTGTAATCACCAGTCGCATGGAATGCCTCTGGACATGGAAATTCGATCACGAGATGACTTTTTCACTGCTGCTTTTCTTCAGACTGCCAGCGCTCTCCCCGCTTCTCTTTCCTGTATGATATCTGCATACTGCGCTTGATGTGGCACATTCTACAGCGGCGCCATAGTGATTTCATTCCGCGATGTCGGCAGCGTTGAAAATTTTTTAGCTAAAAATATAATAGCTGCATGGAAATCTGTTGGATTTTTTTAAATTTCAAAGATTTTATAGTATGTTTTACTCAAAAGGATAAAATCCCTTTTTAGTAAGTTCCTTGTAATTTATTTTAAAAGCAGAGAGAACTGGGACTACATAGAAGGCTTTTTAAGCAAGTTGTTTTGAATACTTATAATTAAAATGTCTTGAAGCTAGGTTGCTTACTAAAATTAAGGAAGTTACGAAAAGGCATCTTGTGATTGTTTTGGTTGTCTCTGCGCTAGTAGAGATAAAACCACTTGTCCATATAGAAAAGGAACAAGACGACTGATCTTCGATTAGTCGCATCTAGCACCCAAAATAGTAGTGAAGGCCTTAATCGGAGCACCATACCGGGTTCAACCCGTGACACATGTATTCTTATAAAAGTTAAGAAAGGCAGATACAGCTTCCACAGTGTTTGCAGGAAGAGCAAAATTAGCTACATAGCTTCATTAGCCTACATACCTTACTCCTCCAAAAGATCTCACCATTTCATGCATTTGTTGTGGCTGTATATCTTCATTTTTGCACTCGTAGCGGGACAAAAATCGGGCGGCAGGTGACCGGCGTCAGGTGATCGGGTACGGTAATTCTCGAGGGGCTCAGCCTGGCCGGGGAGTAGGCACTCGAAGTTGGCCGCTCACATCGTGTACGATACTGGAGACCTGTCCTCTTCTACTCGTCTCCTCGTATTCCCATTCTTAAGAGTCTCGCACAATGGCGACTACAACCACAACAGAGGCCATTTCTCTGGAGCACGAAGCGTTCACCGTCCTGCCCGATCTACAGCAACAGCAACAGCAAAATCAGCTACCACCTACGGCAGCCTCGGCACGAACAATTGAGCCTCTCAACGTCGAATCCACCACAGAGACGGAGCCCAACTACCCAACAGGCACCAAATTTTGGTTCACCATTATCGCACTGTGCGTGATCCTTATCCTCGGTGGCCTAGACGCCAACATCGTCGCTACAGCCGTGCCGAGCATCACTAACCACTTCCACACTGTCGCCGACGTAGGATGGTACTCGTCTGCATTTCGACTCTGCACCTGCGCGTTCCAATTCGGGTTCGCGAAGCTGTATACGCTCTTCTCAATCAAAGCCATTTTTTTGATGAGCAATGTTATATTCCTCGTCGGCTCTTTACTCTGTGCCACAGCTGCGTCGTCGACTATGTTTATTTTAGGGAGAGCTGTAACGGGTGTGGGATTCGCGGGTGAGTTGGCGGGGTGTTTTGCAGTCGTAGTGCATATTCTGCCGCTCAGCAGGCGGCCAGTGTTTGCGGGTTTGATGGCGTGTGTAGAATCGCTTGCGATCATTGCAGCGCCTATAGTAGGTGGTGCATTAACGCAGTCCTTGGGGTGGAGATGGTGTTTTTGGTATGCTCTTCTTATCACAGGCATGATTAAGATAGCTTGACACTAACTTCTTTGTAGGATCAACCTTCCTATTGGCGCTGTATCGCTGGCGACCATGCTTTTTCTCTTCTCAGACCCAAGAACTCGCCAAGAGGACGACCTCACAGTGACTCAGAAGATCAGAGAGCTCGACCTCGTCAGCAACTGCTTGTTTATCCCGTCCCTAACAGCGCTCTTCGTCGCGCTGTCTTGGGCGGGAACAAAGTATCCCTGGTCTGATGGGAAAGTGATTGGATTGTTTGTTGTATTTGCTGTGCTACTCGCCGCCTTCGTCTTCAATCAATACCGACGCGGAGATTCGGCAGTTCTCCCTTTCCGCGTTATCAAAAGCCGAAGTGTCATCGCGGGCTTTATCTTCACGACGTGCACCAATTCGATGACGAACGTCTTGGAATGGTACTTACCAACATACTATCAAGTCGTTCGATCCCAAGTAAGACTTCTGGCCAGTTCGCGACTACAAGAAAATGCACTGACAATATTATGCCCTGCCAGAGCCCAAGTGAGAGCGGCTACCTGATGATCCCCATCCTTGTTGGAATGATGCTCGGGCTCTTTCTTCAAGGCATCGGCACCACCACGTTCGGCTACTACGCCCCCTTTATGATCTTCGCCTCCATATGCATGCCAATTGCCGCGGGCTTGATGACGACATATGATCTCGACACATCCCTAGCCCAGATCATCCTCTATTCCGGATTCGCAGGCTTTAGTGGAGGCATCGGCTTCCAAGGCTCCCAAGCGGCTGTTCAGACAACATTAAGTGCCGCAGATGTCAATCTTGGGATCGGGGTTATCTTGTTCGGGCAGAGTATGGGTCCGGCGGTGTTTATCGCTATTGCGCAGGTTATATTCACGAATCAGTTGTCGTCGGGTTTGGAAGATATTATACCGGGGTTGACACCTGCATATATTGAAGAGCACGGACTTGGCGATATTAAGAATGGGGTTCCCATGCAGCAGTTGGATAAGGTCTTGGGTGGTATCAATCGAAGCCTGACTCATACTTGGTACCTTACTGTTGTGTTGGCCTGCACGACGATTGTGGGAAGTCTCTTGGTCGAATGGCGCTCGGTTAAGCAGAAGCAGTCATGAAATGGGTCGGCGACACGAAAGGAGCATTCTGATAGTAACGCCCAATAAAATTGATATTTCTGGCTAACCAAACTAAGATATCGATCCCCCTTGGCAAACTCCCTGATACGCTGTTTGGCAACTGAATACGAGCGCCATGTCCTCCAAGGAGGTTCACCTGGGCAAACAGCCCACCTTTCCTCGTAGTAATAATTGAGGCTGACAGAATCACCCTCATCAAACTGAAAAGGCCAATCATATAAGATGCGGCTTATACGTTATGTGTCTTCACCCAATGGTTTATGATAAGGAGCATATCTCTGAGAGGTCCCAAGGGGCGAGTTTCTTCGCTCTCCGCCCTTTGACTGCACTCGCCGTATTCTTGTATCTATCTCAATGTCGTTGTTCCAAAATACCAAGACCTTCGGCTATTTCATGGTCTTTATTTTATGCCTATCGCATATTGCTCTTGCTAATCAAAGTATTGAAAATTTGTTTAAACCAGCTCAGTCCAAGCAAGGGAAGAATGTGGGTGGTTTAACAACCCGTAATATGGGAGTTATGAAGCGAAGTGACATCCTCGGCGGCCTCTCACTTGTTCCACGCGACTGCTACTCCGGTTATTCTGAGTGTCGGTGTATGAAAATCCCTATATCTAATAATTCTGTTAAACATCTGCTTACTGTCTCCATCTTAATAGACACCGGACGCTGCTGCCCAGACCCTTACAACCATTGCTGTCCCAGTGGCACCTGTGTAACAGGAGAACAACCCTGTTGTGGTAATTCCCATGCCTGTGATGTCGGTGAATCATGCTGCTATGATGGATGTATGCCTAAAGGCCAGGTCTGCTGCGACGTAAAACATTACTGCAATGCCCCCGACGAATGCTGCGAAAATAGTTGCATGACACAGGGCTATAACTGTTGTTCAAATGGCCAATCTTGCGAGCCCGATAATGTCTGTATTATCCGGGACGGGGAAATGGGATGTTGCCCGCGGGAAGGGTGCTATTCCTATGAAAATGTTATTTACTGGTACGTTTATGTGTACTGGTACATCGAGATCTACTGGGAGGTTCGGGTGAAGGTGACGACGAGTACGGTATCTCTCACTTCATCGTCGGAGAGGACTTCAAGTACGCTGTCATTGCGGGCATCAAGAAGTGACGCTCTCTACTCGTCGTATTCCAGTTTAAGCTCAAGTATTGTCGAGGCCGCGTCGACGACGCCGGATCTACATGATCTTCCGACGAGCACTACGACTACAAGCAACCCCACCGCTGTTCCCACGGGTTCAGGCTCAGGCTCGAACACAGATTCTGATACCACTTTCCCCTCGAACCGCAGTACGTTCCCTTCAGAGACAGGCCAGGGTGACGTGCCATTATCTGGAGGTGGAGCTGGTGGAGCTGGTGGAACCGGATCTATAATCGGGCCCTCTGTCTTTGTAGCACTGGTTGGTGCTACCTTTGTTCTAATGATCCTTCTTTAAAGGTCGTTTGAAATAACATTATTTCGTGCCCATACGTGGGGTATCTCATGACGAAATTCAGGCTTGTAATTCTGTGACGTAATATTATAGCAGATTTTCTAGCTGTAAGCTATATCGGTAAGTCTATATACAGTCCCAGGGAGTGGAGTTTGATACATCCGCTTCGTACTATAAAAGCCAGCATATGCTTGCGGAGCGTACGAACTGCACCATCTGGGAGAGGATCAACACTCCCCTGTTGGATGTAAAACTTCTTCTCACTTTCTCAAGATTCTCTAAAATTACGAGCACTCGCTTGATCCTTCAGAAGAAAACCCCATGTAAACGGTCCATACTCCCTTGCTGCATTAATGCGGGGTCTGCCCAAGCGGCGAGTAGAGACAGATCTATCTTTTCTATGCGGGATACCCTGACTGTTCTCCACTAACCAAACTTGTGTCCCGTTTCCTCTGATTTTTTGAGAGTTTGGTGGGCTCGGCAACCACGGAAAACTCTGCGGTTCGGCCCTAACCGCACCCACCACTTCTCTTTAATAACGTATCTGTGGCGGTCCGACCCAGATATAGCCAAAGATCCCTGGTGTAACTAAGTTAAGGGGCCAGGATATGACTAAGCTCGGCTACGGCCGCGCGAGATATATCAGGAAACCCACAAATAGAATTAGGATATCAGCGACAATACGTTAAGGAGCTGAGTATAGAGCTTATGCACCTGCGAGATCAATTCATCTTTAATATCACACTATTTCATAATCCTATCCCTTATACCTGGCCAGTAAAGTAGTAAAGCCCTAAGTATCCAATAATAGTAAATAGGACCTACCAGGACTTTTCTAATTATGGCTTAGACCCCCAGCTATCAGGCAGATATCCAAGACAACTCAGCCTCCATTGTTATCTTTCATCTTCCAGACATATCATCGAATATTTATCAAGTGACTCTCAAATGGTTGGAGGTCCCGTAACCTTCGACCCACTTGTTTGATCACTTTAGCAACACGGCTCCCTACACTTCGGGGAGGTCCAAGAGGCTGAATTGAATGTATGGGCAAATCAGAGGCTATGGGCGCATAAGACATGAATGGCAGCCAACGTGGACCGGACATTGCACGGCGTTAAGCTGATCCCCTTTACCCCCGACCCCACCGACCCCACCGACCCCACCGGTGGGGTGATCCACTGATTAACAGGGAAGGACCCGCGATAAGCTTATCTCCTTCAGTCTTCGCTCTTCAGCATGCAAGCTCTTCGTCTCTCTCTTATCCCCTAATTCCGACAACTCAACAAGGGTATCAGTGACAAAATGAGTTGCATGGATAACTCTAGAGTCATGTTATGGCGCCTTCTTTTTCCGAATGTACCGAGTTGCTGGATATTTATAGGAACTCAACTAAGGCTGTTATTTTATTATATACTATGGTATGTTGAGTAAGTAACGTTAGTACGGTGGGTCACCGAACTGCGTAGAAATAGGATGAACTCTGTGCCATTACTATTTAGGGATAGAGATCATGTATGCTGCCTTACAGACTATTAACATCAGCTCTTTATATATATATAGCAACATGGCTCTTTCTACGCCTCGTCATTTTCAGAGTTTAAATCTACTCTGTATATACTCTGTATATACTGTATTAATCTCTGATCTCCTTTACAAGAATAATAATATAAACCTTTATATGAGGGGAAGTTAGTAGATGAAAGAATTAAATTTAAAAATTAAAGACCGCGATGCTGAGTTATTATCCTACCAGTACTACTGTAGTATATCATACAGTTTTTTTCCCCGCGGATTTTTTCACGCCTAGAGCTGGCTATCTCCGGGGGGGATGGATGCATTGCATCCCCTTTTCGATTATCCCCTAACTCTGGACGCTGGAGTATGTTAATAGGTGCCAGAATTAAAGAGCGCGAGCCTAGCTTGTTCCAGAATAAAAGTCTTACCCAACCTAATAACCCTCTCAGCGCCGGATTTGTCTCCACACCATTAGAATTCAAGATGGTAGCCGACGAAAGTGCTGATCATGCTCCAGAGCAGTACTCGCTTCATGAAAAGAAATCCCCAGGACTCCAGGATACAAACATCGACCAGCAATCCTCAACCTCGCCTAGCGATGAGGGTGAATATCCGACCGGCTTAAGGCTGATTTTCGTTGTTGTTGCTTTGATTTTGGCGATTTTCTTAACTTCCTTAGACTTCGTGAGTTCCACGCTTTCTTTTGGAAAATCTGACAGGATTGAAAAAGTCTTATATTGATCTTTTTCCTTAGACCATTATTGCTACGGCTATTCCACGTATTACCGATGACTTTCATAGTCTCGGAGATGTGGCTTGGTACGGGTCGGCCTTCTTCCTGGTTACTGCTGGCTTTCAAACAGCTTGTAAGCTTGACATCCCCCTTCCATCGCATTGTGCCCACTAACAACAACGAAAAGGGGGCAAAGCATATCTCTTTTTTAGCCTGAAGATCACATTCCTGTTGGCCATTTTTATTTTTGAAGTAGGGAGTTTGATCTGCGGAGTCGCCCCTTCCTCGGTAGCACTGATTGTCGGCCGTGCGATCGCTGGTTTGGGTGCCGCAGGCGTGAATACAGGATCCTTCACCCTGGCGGCGTTTTGCGCACCACCCCAAAAAAGACCTATATTCACAGGGTTGATTGGTCTTTCCTATGGTGAGCTCGAGAATAATACTCTCGCAGACTTGCCGACCGAGCTGATTTAGTCTATAGGAATTGCATCGGTCGTGGGACCACTTCTTGGCGGTGTTTTCACGGAAAAAGCCACATGGAGATGGTGTTTCTACATCAATCTACCAGTAGGCGCTGTCTCAGCGATCTTCATTATCGTCTTTTTCCAAAGCCCGCCAGCCTCGAAGTCTACTGATACCTCATCATTGTGGTGGAAAGTGATGCAGATGGACCCCATTGGAACGTTCTTGATGATGGCTTCCGTGACCTGCTATATCCTCGCAATGCAATATGGCGGATTGACCCATCCCTGGAACAGTTCAGTTGCCATTGGCTTAATCGTCGGCTTCGTGGCAATCCTAGCCGTTCTCTGTGGGTGGGAAATATACATGGGCGAGATGGCCATGTCCTGCCCTCGCTTGGTAAAAAAGCATGCGATTCCCTCGGCAGTGGGCTTCTTCTTCTTCGGCTCATACATAGTGGTGATTTATTATCTGCCCATCTACTTCCAGAGTATTGATGGTACTTCCGCGATCGGCTCCGGTGTTCACAACCTGCCTTTTATCCTCGCGGTGTCCATTTTCACAGTTCTTAGTGGCATTTTGATTTCCATGACTGGCTATCCCGCACCGTTTGTTATATCTGGGGCAGCAGTTGGCACAATCGGATGTGGCCTTTTATATACATTTAATATCGGTACCAGCACAGGGAAATGGATTGGCTATCAAATCCTAGCCGGCGTCGGCAATGGAGTTGGTGTCCAAATTCCGATGATCATGGCACAGGGAAATACTGCACCACAAGACATGGCGGCGACAACTGCCATTCTAATGTGTAAGCCATTTTTCTCATCCCGTGTACTGTTCAATATCTAACTCTGTTATCTGTATAGGCTTCCAAACTGTCGGTGGTGCCTTTATGCAATCGGGTGCCCAAGCCGCATTCGCAAATCGCCTCCTAATTGAACTTCCCCGAACGGCACCAGATGTTGATCCTTCAGCTGTAGTTGCTGCGGGAGCAACAGAGCTAAAATTATTCAGTTCCAGTCTAGATGGAATCCGCCTCGCTTATATGGACGGAATTAAAGTAACATTTGCATTTGCATGTGCTTCGATGGGTGTGGCTTTTATCTTGGCCTTTTTCGCTCGGCGAGCACGAATTGGGGGGGCAGCCGTGAAGAATGCCATTGCTGCTGCTTAGATGCACAGTTTGGTGTTTCAATCCGAATCTTGTGCCTTGGTGCCTACAGTACTCTTACCATCCTCGGGTGTGGTTAAAAAAAGACCATGTATCCGTGTAACATAGTGGACTCCTCCGATTCAAGCTACGTTCACGTTTTCGCTGATAGAATGTTGTAAGAAAATTTAATAATATTATAATACTTCCAAAGATTGTTATGAGATTCGCGTTGCGCACTTTCCAGCCTCAGGCATAGCTTCGACCGTTTTCGGAGTCTAGCTAGAATCGACTCAAGGGATGTACTACTTGAATACATTCTAACTGGCCTGAACCGTAACATTCATGCCTCGGTTACTTGTGAGGTTGAATCCGCTCTAAGAGAACCAAATTTAAGAAACGCCGTCTCGTTTCGGTTATCCTACTTCAGCTCGAAGACCAATTTTTCATTACCGCTAGTATCTATATAGCTATTCCTTGACCGAACTCAATCCCGTTACCTGACCTCGGTAAATGCAATTGACTTTAGATGTTATCCCTGTCATCCAGTTACAAGGACTGGATGGCATGAGCGCCGGGATTGGTTTTAACACAACCAGATAAGACAATGTAATCCAAATATGGTAAGATCGAGGCATTATTCTCCATCCACTTCGTTAACAGATGGGGTCAGTGGTGGGGAGGATTAGGCGCCATGTGCAACAAAAGTACATACATCCATACATTACATGGTGATAAGCTACTAAAGCCGAGCAATAAGCCGCCGGGCCGGTCCGTTCCGTACCGACTACCCGCTGACGCATGTCATTTATCGGTGCACGCCCCTTCCTTCAGGTGCCCTATTGCTAAAATTTCAAGTAATGAATAAATCCACTCATCGGTCTTGAATTCCGGTCATTGGCTGAGTCGCATCTCCTGGTGGGGTAATGCGGAGGTAGAATAAACTCCGACAAGCGGGAAGGAGCTTGTGTCTAGTGTTGTTGTAGAGGGGCTTAACTTTGACGTGATAATCTATGCAATATCGAGCATGTTGCATGTATGGCTATGATAGGACACGCTTTGAAGGGTAGAAAATTCTTCGGGTGATAAGTCCGTCTGTTCTAGGAATAGAGTGGGTTCAGAACTAATTTACCAGATGGGACAAACTGTTACAATACAAATTTAATACTATGAACGTGTATGTATGATCGTGGAGGAATACAGTGGGAGAGTAAGGGCATGCAAGTAGAATTCCAGCATACTGTAGGACATGAAAAGTGGTTCAGTTGGATCTTAGAATATAAATGTCGTTAGAAACCCCAATGAGCTACAAGACAATAAATATATCACCTTTCTATCTACATTCGCTACATACAAAGGAGAATATCCTTATTATTTCAGCCCAAGAAAATGAAGATGGCATCTCCAAATCGATTGATTGTCTTATCCAATGTCGTCGCGGAGACGACAAAAGTCATCTCGGATTTCCTGGCTTAAGGGACTGGAGCCTCCCTCTTTCGATGTCGACGGGCTACTGACTATGCAATTTCGGCTCACGACAGAGAGGCCTCTGAGGCTCGCCTGGAGTTGATTGCAGCGTCAAAAGAGCTCTATGCCCTTTCCCGCGGTCCAAAGGATCATATTCGAAACCTTTGTTGGGATGTAGGTTTGGGCAACTTTCAATTATATGGAAAACAAAAAGAAAAAAGGAAATATCACTGATATAGCTTCACAGGCCATGGATCCATTGTCCCTACATGCCATTTGGACTTTCAGGGTCCCACAGGCTGTCCCACTCACTAGTTAATATCTTACGAAGACCTAGCTGAGAAGTGCCATCAATTGAGTGGAATTTTCGCACCACTGTACACTTTCCGACGGATCATCCGCCACGCTATCACTAACCGTTTCTTCTGTGAGCCGGAACTTGGATTCGTTGCGCACAAGCGGGCTTCCCGAGTTCTTCTCAAGGAGGAACCTTGGATGCCTGGGTAGGTCTATTCTATAATGACATATAGCCTGGCTTTGTCTACACCGTTGAAGCTCTGCGGAGATGGTCCGGGAGTGGGGAGCTAAATGAGACTGGTATTAACGTGGCCTATAACCATAATCTCAATTGGTTCGATCACACTTCTCGCAATGACATTGTCGCCGACAGATATAGCAAAAGTATGAAGGCACGCCGTGACCAGTTATCCATGGGGAGATATTGGTGAGGGAACGGTCGTTGACGTGAGTACCATCCTCCTACTTTCCATCTGAGAATCAATGGGATGTGTTTCTGATTTTTAAATCTTGGCTTTTTCAGTGTGGCGGCAGTGGAGGCTTTGCCCCGATGGCGATTGCGGAGGCATACCCCAACCTGAACTTTGTAGTTCAGGGTCAAGAGCACACAATCACAGAAGAGACGAAGGCTGCAGTGCCTCAACATCTCAAGTCCCGAGTTAGGCTTGAAGTACATGACCTGTTGAAACCACAGACCGTAGTAGCAGATGTCTACTTTTTTCGCTGGGTCTTTCATGGCTTTGCTGAAAAGTATGCTATCGAGGTCTTGCGGGCTTTGACTCCGGTGCTTAAGAAAGGAGCCAAGGTTGTCGTCAACGACGGCGTGATCCCCGAAGCTGGTACTGTCCCATGGATGGAATATCGAAGCATTAGATGCATGGATCTTTTGGGACAGGCAGTGAACAATACCGGCGAAAGGGCTTGCATGACTGGATAGGTCTATTCAAAGTGGCCGATCCCCGATTTAAGTTACTGAATGCCTGGAAGCCCCCGAAGAGCACAATTTGGTTCGTTGAAGCCGAGTGGCAGCCGTAAAGCTGATTCTAGTGTACGGCACCCGAACTATTCGAATCGTCATAGCAGGTTTTCAGCATCGGCATTTCACGCCCAAGTTTTTGCCTGGAGTTAAATCCTAGAACTATCAGTTGACGACCAGTGCTCGAAAATTGAATTTCTTAGTTTATATATATGTAAATGTATATACATAAGACTATCGCTCGCTCCTTAGATGTCTCCGATTGAATGAGTTTCAAGTATCTATAGTAGCAAGGAAACGTTAACTTATATAGAAAGATAAAAGATTTCATCCCGTGAACGATAGTACCTGAGAACCACATAATTAGGAGTAACACCACCGCAGGAGAGCGCTCTTAGGTATAAAGCATAGCTAAGAGTAGGACTCCCTAGCTAGCTTCTCAATAGCTTGACACGTTCTGCTCTCAATATTTTCCAAATATGTAAATCAATAGATAACCTTGGAATCAAGTAGATTTCTATGTCGTGTGAGGTTCTACAAAGCCGCCTACGCATTCAAGGCAATACCACACAGAAGTTTAAATGTTTATTTAAATATATATTCGAGGTAGTTGTAGGAAGCCACTGGACTATCAAGTTACTGCATTTAGTTAAAGAAGTGTAGCAATGCACATATCAAATCTTAGACATGAGGAAGTTTCACAGTCTATAAGTCTATGCAAATCCGGAACTTGAAAAGAAATTTGGCTTCCAAGGTTATTGTGTTAGGTTATCCGCGTAAGCTTTCAAAACCTCCGCAATAATGCCGTACAATCCAATTGTAGCGCTGTTCTTGAAGATCAGGGACCAAGCATAGACCAATTGTATCGAATATGGCTTTGACGCAATAGCTGGCTCTAGGTCTATTTTCGCTAGCGTTTCTTGTATTGCTTTTAAAATGTCATTTTCCTCAGAAGTCGATCTGATCTATTGCGTCTCGACTGCTCCCTCATCCAAAAGCTTAGAAAATGACCTTTGGAATAATTTCGGTAAATTCTCGTTATTACCAGCGCAGGGGAGGACGAGTGAGTGACAAGGAAAAGGGAGGTGGAAGCAATGAAAATACTCACAGCATTCCAATGAATAGGTATTGAAAAATAACTTAGAGTGCCATCCGGAAATGGATCCTGCTTGGGCCATTCCCATTACTACTGAAATCTGGAGTGCCTTAATAGCACACCAAGGGCTTTCACACATGTCCCTGAGCTTGATATGTTGACTGTGATGTCATTCAACTTCGAAGTAATATTCTGCAAATTTCGGGTCGTCAAGGCCGCTCGGAGAGGCCTGAAGTTTCCACACAGTCGGATATGAGCCTGACGATACAACGAAAGGGCATTTGCGGCAATCACTCCGCTAGGGTACCTCGAAGAACAATAAGACTCGGGGTTCTGCTCGGAGCACATCCGCCACCTAGCCAACGATTCTTCAATCCGTTGTACGTGCGTCGGCAATGAATCTATAAGCCAGTTGTCCTGGTAGAGATTCGTTAGATGTTTAACAATACCATGCAATATCAGGTAGGACCTGAAAATGCTCAGTCGAAGCGATGGTGCACCTTGGGCAGACATGATATTGGCCAGGGCAGTTGCTGCCATAAAAGGACGCCGATGGAAGGAAATTCAGGTGCAGTATTTTCCAGCCCGATCTCGCAATGCAATTAAGAACCAGTAAGACTATTCCACTCGTGCTCAAGTGCGCGATCAGTTCAATTGGGGTACGAAAGAGCAAACTAATACCAATTGCGGATAGGTATACGATCTTGATGCGTCGACGTACCAAGTCGAAGAGCACGGCGAAGAACGCAGCTCCACTTGAACCTCTTGACACAGAGTCTTCCCAGAATCCGGCATGGTCCTCTGAAGAGGATACAGATGAGTCTGGACAGAGCAGCGATGACGAGGATGACGGCACAGCCGTAGAGCGTCGGGACCCGCGCAGCTCCATGGAGGGGATTCTAACGCAAACAGACACTGGTGACACGGCAGAAGGCGCAGAAAACATCACTTTAATACAGGACTCACAATGGGACATGCTCTCTGGCTTCTCAAATGAATCATGGGACAAGGTGCTGTCTTCGATGGGGGAGCCCAGCGACACGGGCCTCTACTTCGACGGCGCGGTGCCAGGCCTGCCTGCGGCCATTCCAGAGACGACACCGCATGGTTACACCCATGACGGAGGTAAACCGGACCTTTACTCTACCCCGGCTGCTCCCCTTTTACCTGCGCAGGGTAGAACCCCCGTGCTGTTTAGCCCTCCTGACCAGGACGGCGCAGCAATGATGGGCGTTGAACCAACGCAACAGGAAATCGGGACGATTCCTCACACTGTCACTCGAAGGGGCTCGGAGGGGAACAAGGTCGTTCTCATCGTGGAAGACCCAGACAAGACGACAGTCGAGTCCTTGATGCAGGTTGTGTTTTCGAGTAGGTCGCGGTTTCACTTGACTCGGGAGTAGAGGTAGAGATATATTGCGGTGCCTGGCGTCAAGCAATGCAGGGGTCCATGTGTTTTATACACCGCTTGTTTAAATATGTCCTGAACAAACGCATGTCATGTCCCATGATTAGTCATTGATCTATGCTAAACTAGATGGCGCTAGTTGCAAATATCCGGCCTGAACGCTGCCCTAATACATATTGTAGCAGTCCTGTCGTAGGTTCGAAGGTGTCGCGTTCCCTGAGGTCGAGACTGATATAGCAATTGATAAATAAAAGGCTTTATAATACAGCTCGTAGACACAGCATATACAATCCTGGCTCAAGGGCGCAATCCAGCGATTAGTCACCGTGGGTCAGGGTGCTGAAGATCAGGATCGGCTACTCTCTGATACACTTTTGCCGTTCTGTCTCCCTGCAAAGTTCCTATAGTCTGCATTTATTACTAATAATCTCTTCTCGGGTACTTCTCGTTACTGCCCCCTGCAGACAAACGTCCTGACAAACCAGCTTACTGATCAACAACCAAGCGAGGTGAATAAACGCCAGCGCCCTCGGACCCTTCTCCCCCAGCATCTGCCCTCTATCGCGGGTGCGGGCCGAGGTGGACCGTTTGCGGGCAGATCGCCTTCCGTCTGCAGGTCCAGCAAGCCCCTCGCTTAGTGAGCACCGCGAATCAGCGCGCGGACCGGTGTACCATCGGTTACTTTTGCCTCTGCGCTGGACGGCGCCATCAAAGAAATGCCTCCGAGGCGGGGCCAAATTGGCCCGACTTAACAAATGGGTGCTCATTGGCCCCTGCACTAGTAATATGCCCTTTGGACACGTCGCCAAGTCGGTCCTTGTCCGGCGGAAAAGCGTCCAGAGGGGGGTTGTTTGCTGAGGCGGGACGAAGTTGGCCCGGCTTGACAAATGGCGGCGGCCCTAAGTTGCCGGCCACTCTATATAACATTCTGAGGGGCGTCGCAATCCTAGACATTAGTTGGCTCCCCTACGGATTTTACTTCCTTTTGTCTGTCGCCATGGCTGACTCTACCTTGTCGGATGCTGAAAAGATCGCCCAGAGTGATTCGTCGCTGGATTCGCAGGCGAAGCGACATATCACGGGCGTTAAGGTGAGCTGACTGACTGACTTGCTTGGGTCTCGGAGTCGAGGGTGAGAGTGCTGACTGCAGCAGTGGTTCTTGTTTCTGGTCAGCACCTTGACGGCCATCTTTGTGTACTCTCTGGACAATACGATCGTCGCGAACATCGTTCCTGTACGTCCCCTACCTCTCCATTCCCCTCCCCACAGTGACAGAAGCTTATACTAACCAATCCTAACAGCAAATCGTCAACAACTTCAACGCCGTCGAAGACCTACCATGGCTGTCGGTAGGGTACGTACCACGTCAACAAAGCACGCGCATTCAGGGGTCGTGGTGGCCGGCTAACAAGCTCCCCTCTGTAGGTTCATGATCGGAGGAATGGCCATGGTGCTGCCCTTCGGCAAGCTGTACACGATCTTCGACGCTAAGTGGGTGTTCATTGTCTCCACCGTCGTGTTCATGGCCGCCTCTGCGCTCTGTGGCGGCGCGCCCACGATGAACGCCGAGATCGTCGGGCGCGTGTTTGCCGGCGCCGGCGGGAACGGCATGTACTTTGGCCTGCTGGCCCTGATATCCATGAACACCACGACCCAGGAGCGGCCCAAGTATCTCAGCTTAACGTAAGTCTGGTCTGGTCTGCTCTTCGCGTTACGCTTAATCGCGCGACTGACAATTATTTTCTCTAGCGGGCTGGTCTGGGGTCTCGGGACGGTTTTGGGTCCTGTCGTCGGCGGCGGCTTTGAGCTGTATACCTGGCGGTGGGCATTCTACATCAACCTGCTGTTCGGCGCCATCTTGCTGCCCACATACCTGTTCGTCATCCCGTCCAACGACCCGCTCCCGGGAGTCTCGCGGTGCCAGAAGCTGGCGACCTTTGACTGGGTGGGCGCCGTGCTCAGCATCGGCGCCTTCACCACGCTGGTCATGGCCATCAACTTCGGCGGCACCCTGTACGCGTGGAACAGCGGGCAGATTATTGTGCTGTTTGTGGTGTGCGGCGTGCTGTTTATTATTTTTGGCATCCAGCAGGGCTTTAACATCTTGACGTCTTTCGAGAACCGCATGTTCCCCATCCACTTGTGTGTCCAGAAGGAGCCTGTCCTGCTTTTTATCTCGTGCGCTGCTGTCGGCGCCGTGTCCTATGTCACCGTGTACTACATCCCTATTTACTTCCAGTTCACCCAGGGAGACAACGCCATTAAATCCGCCGTGCGCCTGCTCCCGTTCATCTTCCTGCTGATCACCACCATCCCGACGAGCGGCGCCATGATGTCGCGTCTCGGCTACTACAAGCCCTGGTACCTGGGCGGCAGCATCATTGCGCTGATTCCGGCCGTGCTGATGTGTAAGTTTCGACCTGAGCTCACTTTTCCCGGCGACTACATGCTAACTACCTAATTAAAGCCACCATTATCCACGTCCACACCCCCTCCGGCGTCATGTACGGTCTCGAAGTCGTCCTGGGAATCGGTGCTGGCGCGTACACCCAGGCCGCTTTCGCTGTTATCCAGGCCGTCGTCGCCCCCTCCGAGGCGCCCAACGGGTTGACTCTCATGCTCCTGGGTTCGTCGCTTTCCTTTCCTTTCCTTCCTTTCTTTCTCTCTCTTTCTCTCTCTTCCCCCTTTTTTCTTCTTTCCCCACCAACTCCACACTAACGCAACTCCTGCAGCCCAACTCAGCGGCATGACGCTCGGCTTGTCCATCAGCGGCGCCATCTTCATCAACATCGCGCAGAAGAACCTCTTTGCGCTGCTCCCGCAGATCCCGCAAGACGAGGTCCGCCAGGTCGTCTCCGGAACAAGCGGCCAGCTGATCGCGTCGCTGTCGGACTCGCTGCGCGAACAGGCGCTGGCGATTATCGTGTCCGCGTGGCAGAATATGTAAGTCTTCGTCACTCCGTGCTTTGCTTTGCTCTTTGTTTCCTGGTTGAATGGATACTGATTTTATTTTTTTAAAAAAGTTTTGTCTGTGTGTATGCTGGCGCGGCGGCAAGTTTAGTATGCGCGATCTTTATGTCGGTAAGTTGGCTTCAGTTTTTTTTTTTTTTTTTTTTTTTTTTTTCCCTGATGTGGAAGGTTTTGGGTTGCTAAGTGGGTTTCACAGCATAAACGATGCAATGTCTCGCCTGCGGCAGGTGGTGCGTGAGAGAGGTGCCTTGTCTGCATTTTCCGGCGTGTCTGTGTTTGTGGGGGGAAGGTGGAGGAGTCACTGGGATGGTTGTTTCTAGGGTGAATACTATGTGGATCGTCATTACAATGTTAGAGTTAGAGGTTCTCTAAGATCATTCTCGCAAGAGAAACATTTAATACTTAATTTCAATTCTGATATACTCCCTATAGCACTACTACGACTTGTAGGATGAATACCTAAGGTAGTTGCACTACCAATCCTTTACCCTCCCACTCCCTGTCCCCGCCACTGAGTCATTCGCCCAATACCGCCCACTAACGCCCCCGATATCACCAATCGCCAGGCGCAGCGGGATCCGCGCCCCTTCCTCTAGCAAATAGTGAGTGGGTGGCCAAGAAAACAAAAGGACGATCAACTAACCAACAGTCTTGGGCGGCCTCCCCGCCTGCGCACCCAGCGGCGTGTCCACCCACCCGGGACAGCAGCTATTAATCAGCAGATGGGGGTTGTCGCGCGCCAGAATGCGCGTTGCGGCGTTCAGAGCCGCCTTGCTCGTGAAGTAGGTCATGGGGGGCCAGCCTGTGGCGGTTGCGGCGTGCTGGTCTGCCAGGTGCTAGTGGGAGCCAGTCAGTCAGTCAGTCAGTAGAGAAATAAAGGAGGGAAGAAAGAAGGAAAAGAAGGGGAGAGATAAAACGTACGCTGTACTCGTCGACCAGCGCGTCCAGGTCAGCGAGAATGAGGTCGGGGTTCAAGAACCGCGCTTGCAGGGACGGATGGAAGTATTTGAGCTGGCCGGACTGCGACGAGAGGTTGACGATGCGGCCGTTCGGGCGCATGATCGGGAGGAAGACCTTGCAGAGCTGGATGAGATGTTAGTGGGTGGTGTGATGCTGGGAAAAGCAAAACAGAAGTGTACGTTGAGAGTGCCGCGATAGTTCACGTCGAGGGTCTCCCTGCGCTGAGCGGCGGTGATTTGCTCCTGGAAATAGTAGAGCCCTGCGCTGTTAATGAGCAGGTCACAGCCCTTGTGCGTGTTGGCTACCATGCTGCTGAGCGCGGAAATGCTGGCCTGGTCGGTCAGGGACAGCTGGGCCGGGTGAACCTGCACGGAGGCAGAGAGAGGCTGGGCATGATTCAGGTCGACGGGAGTTCCGGCTCGAGAGGCCGTGTAGAGAATCAAGGGGCCTGGGAGCTGCTGGACGAGCGCAGCGCAGATGGCACGCCCGATGCCGCGGTTCTGCGGGAAGGGTGAGCAGCAGCCTGCGACGCGAGGAAGAGACTTACGGCGCCGGTGACGACGGCTACGAGAAGCCGGTCCATGGTGATAGAGCTGGACAGGAGGAGGAAGGAGGTTCGAATGGCTACCAGGCAAGGTGTATGATGTATCTCCAGCTCCCGCCAAGAAGGACTCCAGGCGATCGTTTGTTCCACCGCTTTCCATACTCCGTCCGGGCCCCGCGTACTCCTCATCTCTGTGGCGAAAAAACAAGAGCTTGCATTGAGACAGACCATTATCTACGAGAACAGACGTTCACTCCATCTGGCTCAGCACCCACTTCACCCCCTCCACGACATTCCGATGGAACATCTCCGAACTCGGGAGCTGCGGGAACAGCCAGAAATAATGCGGCATGCCCGGATACGTATGGAAGTGGTTTCGAATCCTGAAGGTGTCAGCACGAGCCAAATCCTGCAGACACGGCGCCACTTACCCGCATTTATCGAGCTGGTGCCTGAACACGGTCGAGTCATCGCGCACCGGATCGGCTTCGCAGATGGCCTGGTAGACGGGGGGCAGACGGGGAATCCCAGGATGCAGGCAGGGAAAGGCGTATGGGTTGGCGCGCTGGATGGTGCCGTTGTTGTGGCCTATGCATGTCTCTCCGTCAGTTCGAGTTCATTGCCAAAGAGTGAGGTGGATTCGTACCGTAGAACAGCATCATGCTCTGCCCATCCTGCAACGGCGCACACGTCCAGTTCTCCTCGTAGGACTTGAACATAGCTATGTATTCATCGGGCACACACTCCGGGTGAAGCAGAGCCGGGCATAAGACAGCAATCCCCGACACCATGTGGCCCAGGTTCTCGTCGATGAGCTTCAAGGCGACCCCCACGGCCGCGGTGCCTCCCAGCGAGGACCCGATCGAGAAGAAGCGCTTGGGGTCCCCTCCAAGCTTGGACGCATTGACGTAGCACTGCGTGTGTGATTAGACCAAACGTCTTTGAGACAGCTGCGGAATATTCCATACCCATTTGTAGGCGTCGAAGCAGTCGTTGACCTGCGTCGGGATAGGGTACTCGGGCGCAAGCCGGAAGTCCACCTGCGCGATGATGACGTTTGCGTGCTAGGCAATATATCGACACATTCCTATACACAATCAGCGCTGACTGCCCTTTTTCAAGCAAGCAAGCATCGCATCACCTACGGTCTTCGAACGAGGAACTCCATGCGCCGCCCGCGACATGTCCGCCTCCATGCGCACTGTTGCTCCCATCCATCCTGTAAACAACCACACTTGAATTATAGGAACGGGGAGAGTGAGTGAACGTACAAGACTCCCACCGGCAGGCTGGTCCCCGGTTCAGTTTCCTCAGGGGTATAGACGCGGATTGCGATTCCCGAATCCGTTACTTCTTTGTCTAGTCGCGCATCATGTGTTCAGCAAGTAGGTGGAGGCTATATTCGTTTAAACAGGAACGACTCACGATCGACGACATTGTATGAATCGGGACTGGGAAATAACTGGGCCAACATCTCGGATGTCTCCTGGTATGCGGCCCGCACTTGCTCCACGGAGCCGGTGATGAGCGGCCGTTTGCCCAGCACTTCTTTTTCGAGCGTTAACCATTCGTCGGCGATATACATGTTGGGCTACGTAGGAGTTGGTGGATTTGGGTTTAGGATACAGTGCCACAAGGGTTAGTCTATTATACCAGCGTTTAGTGATACTTGGTCACTGGCCCCGCGTACCGCCGCTGGAAACGACTGTGACGGAGGAAGAATAGTAGAGTGCGCGGATCCGAATAAAAGGACCTACGAACTAGCAGACAGAAGAGATTAATTATAGTTATCATTGTGACCCCTCAAGGAGAGGCCCAGACGCTTTTGATCAAGAGTATTTACTTTGGTAAATTCCGGTATAGGAGAGAGCAGTACTTGGATGCGGAGTAGGCACCGGCCCCCAAGCCTACAGTAGAGAGTGTGCGATCTTTGGAATTCCTCCTTTTGATTAACAATGGCTTCGTGCTACAACAGGGGGCCAAGAGTGCCTAGTATGGCTGGCCCACATAGGTAGGCAGGATCCAGACATTTTTCTTCGGATTGATTTTGCTTGTATTCGCTTAAACGAATGGCGTTAAATATACATCCCCAATATAAAAAGTCGTACACACATCACAGCATACACAAACTATGTCAGCTCATGGAACTTCTCCGTCTTCTCCGGTGTCCCCAACCACTCCGCCTTGCGCTTGCAAAAGTACTCCAGGTTCGGCTCCCACTTCTGTCCCGTCTCGAGTTCTATGGTGCCATACGTGACGATCACCGTGCCCGGGAACTTGATCTTGTTCTCTGCGATCACGGGCGATCCGCATCCAGTGCAGAATGACCGCTCCACAGTCGCGCCAGAGTCTGTTGCGCGGTCTTCGTAGGTCCGCAGCGTATCGGCACCTTTGGTGATTGTTAAATCCTGAGAAAAGGGTTAATCCGATGTTCCTCGACGGAGCAGGGGCGCTACACTTGCCTCTTTGCGGTACCAGCTGTTAGCCATGCCGATGGATCCGGTCGATTTGCGACAGTTGTTGCAGAAGCACATGGCTGTGTTGACGGGGTCGCCACGGAGTTCGTATTAAACGCTTTTGCACAGGCAGGATCCGGTGATCATGATGGCGGTGTGTATTTGGACCTTGAACTATCAACAGTTGACGGGAAGAGAGCAGTGGCCAAGCCCTGTATTGGCACTCATTTTTCTGGGGCTGCTCCAGACATAAAGTTGCAAGGCTTCTTGTTAGGATCACTGATTTTTCTTCCCCCTACGTGGCATACTCTCTGATAGATCTTCTAAAATGCTAAGGTCAAGTCGCTGCCAGGCCTCCTTTACTGTAGTGATTAGAAACTCTAATGTATCATTATTGTTAGGCATGTGTAGTAGATCTTGTCGGATTTGATAGATCTTCTGTTTCAACAGCATCCAGAGGCTCTCAATTGGATTTAGATCTGGTGAATTAGGTGGCCGAATCATAATTTCACGTCCAAGCTGAGCAATATATTCGCGTACAATGATTGAAGTATTAGATGGAGCATTGTCTTGCTGAAAAATTGACCTCGGATCAATGAGTAAAGTTGGTAAAATTCGGCGATATAAATCAAGAATAACAAGCGATTCACAAAAGTGGGATGAGAGCAGTTCGTTGAGGAGAGCCAGGAAATGAAGCCCAAAACATCTGTTTAATGGAATCCTCGGTATGGAGTTGGAGAAACTTCGCCTTGAATGCTTGCACTCCAGGACGAATAAATGTTCACCAATTGCTTTAAAAATGGCCTTCCTCAGAAAATGCCTGAAAAAAATTACTTCAATAAATCCCCCAAATTCAACCCTCCTACAACTCTCTGAATTATTCTAAAGATACATTAATTCACAGACTCGTCCAATTAGACCCTCCAATGACTACCAAAAATGATGATGTAGAGTTAATTTTTCAGCAACCGCCTTAATTGATTAACTTCAACTATACTCTCTGACGGATTCTTGAAGTGATAGCCTTTAAAATTACCTCCAACTAAATGTTTCAACATCCCTCCCAGAAGTGACTTTCAACGACTCCCTAGATTTAACTCCCCTTTCATATTTACACCCTGAAAAAGCTCCTTGAGCGATTTTCATCTTGCCGTTCAAACGAGCTTTCGCAGTTATTTCTTTGGTGGCTTGCATCGGTAGCCCTCAATGATGGCAGGTGCTAAAGGAAATATAGAGCTTCACTACCATCCCGAGTTCTACTTTCTACGCAGGTCGTTCCCCAGAAAGCTTGTCATTATCGGTCGCATTTACTAGAGACAAGGTCAAAACCAGCAACGAGAAACGTACTCAACTGAAACAGCAACGTCGAGTAGCTGTTTTATCTCTACAGTATTCTGATTTTTCTCCAAATTTTCTATTCCATCACTCTTCTTCATGAGACCTTGAGACGAAATTCATATGACTGCCCAGCCCAATAAATGTGCAGCATTTAGGCCATCACCCCATTCAGGTACTCGAAACGGTAAAATCACTCCAAGTATGACGCCTTATCTTCAATCTCGGAGGCGGTATTGTAATGACGCCGGCCTGTAGGATAATATTCCGTGCATTTTCTACGTCGGAATAGCGGATCGGTATATGTTGTGTCATTGTATATAGTAGCAAAATACTGATATGACTACTATGCAAATTATTCACTATAGACACACTTGGCGATTAACCCTATTCTGTGAAAAGCTCCAAGGAATCAATTATACAACCACTTGCGTATGACAGCCATGCGTGTAAATCTCTCTTACACCGAGTATTTTGCAAACCGGCTCTAATGAGTGATTTTATCGCAATGCCAGGCTATGGATTTCGAAAGCAGGGAATTTATACAGCTTGTTGTAGCCGCAAAAATAATTAAATTATTTGGGGCATTTGTTGTGTCTTCTATAAGACCTTGCAGTTACCCTCCTGCTTTCCTAGCATTTTTTCCTAAGATATAGTCATCTTACAACCATACTTTTTCCACTCAAGACATATTCAAAATGCCAGCCTCTACCTCCAATGGCTCGACCCGTTAATCTTGGAGCTTTTCGCTTTGGTCATGCTGTGATCCCGCAAAAACTTGTCCTTTATTATCGCTGAAACCTTGGTCCCAAATATAACATTCGCAATAGGTCGTTGTGCCTGTCTTTTCCCGTGCTGTATTTTCGGAAAAACGGCTTCTCGGTTAAAAGGAGAGCAAAATGAAAGCCACTGCAATTTTGATGTATTATGAGGAAATGCTCTCTCCTTTCCATACCAGAAATGGCACTGATCATACATCCCTAGTGTTGTTTATTTTCATTACTTGACACTTGTGGGCTCCATTGGCTACCAGTCATGATGCAAAGAAGTAAAATCAGACAGCACTTCCACATCAAAGGCTCACCCTGTGGAGACTGTATGGCGTCTGTTTGCTGCACTTGTTGTGTTTTGGTGCAACATGATAAACAGACTCATATCCGAAATGATACTATTGAAGGGGTATAATTCGCCCACTGGAATGGAGTACTCAACAGATTAAAAGATGCAACAATATTATTTAGTACACTTTCTTGTTCATCATTTACCAGTCTAGGATATTATTGGTTTCCATTTCACGGATAAATTTCAAGATCGAAAATAATTATACATTGTCAACGTGTTGCCCAGTGCTTCTCAGCGACGAAAAGAAGATAATTCAAAATGCTTCTGAAAGTATCCTGTAGGCATCCCAAAAAACTGGCTGCTTGGGCCAGGAAGAGGTAAGTGTTGCCGTGGTAGTGTTCGGTATCCGAGAATTCTTTTTTGCAATAAGACAAATACGTATCAGCAGAGCCATCATCACTCACAGTGGTACAAATCTTCGCATTCGACTAATTCGCCCGCGTCACGAAGCAACCTCGGCCACAAGCTCGATGAACTTAGTCGCTTCTAGAATTCAAACGACGTCTAACCACGTACAAAGCGAAGAGTGAGTCGCAACCGCAATTGCTAAGTAAAGGAACGAATGTGCGACCAGTGTTTAGTCACAGCCGTGTCGGAAGAGTCAATGACTTAAGCTGCTCTGAATCTATGCTAAGTGTCACGGCTCAATCTAGACCAGGAGATCTTCATATAACAAATGGATCTATTCCCGCTAACTAGGTAGCTCTTCAACGAGAATATCAAACATGGAGAGGAGAGGAAGAAGGGATGGATCATAAACAACATTAGTTGCGGGGAAACCAGCAGATCACATGACCCAAGTGACGAGGTCAACCCCCGGGTTAAAAAAGCTCGTCCCGAGTCTTTAGAATAGAGATTAAAGCAAGAAACAAAGTAAATAGAAAATCAGATTCTTTTCCTCCAATCAGTTTTTTCCAGTATATCGCGGTCTGCGGAGTTTAACGAAGAGGCGGAATCAATAGAGTGCACATCATCATCATTATTTTCAAAGCAGCTAGTTCAGCATATCTGCGTTCGGCCCCGGGAAAGTAAGATCTTAGAGGACAGTTCTTTACCCAGTGGTCTTGAGATCCGCAGCGTACGCAGCGGCCTTCCTTCCTGTACTGTACTCTGCATGCGGGTGAGATTGATAGAGCTCGCGGCGTAGAGGCGCAAATTGCATTAATATTTAGCGCGCTCAGATCGGTAGAGTCAGTCTTAGGAGGTATTGACGATGTTCATGAGCCGTAGTTAAGGGTGGATGTTGAAAGGAAACAGATGAAGATTGAGCTAACTGTTGAAAAACATGCATAAATGCTGGATAAGTGCGTGGCAGATTCAGTTGCTGTGACAGACGGTTGCGAATAGTTGAATTCAAGCCTTTGCAGAATGCAGATATCTTGGTAACATCTGACCAATCTTGACCTCTTGCCTCGTAAAGGATTCGCTTGAATTTAGCAATGTCAGCAGTAAGATGTTCACCGGAATCCTGCTTAATAGCTAAAAGCTTGTCTTCAGCCTCCTGGATCTTATTTGGATTGTCGTACACGCGGGATAATTGATCGAGGATATTGTTGTAGTCCCAAGAAGCAGAGTCTTCGGCCTGGCTAAGCTGTGGGAGAACCATGGCTTGCACCTTGCTATCCAGATTCAGATAGACATAGCAAAACTGTGCCACTGAATCTCCAAGAGCTTCACCATCAACGTGTGTCTTTGCCTTTATCGAAGGTAGCCAGGTGTCTAATTTAAAAGCTGCTCCGGTAAACTTTTCGGGATCAAGAAGGACTGGTATCGGTTGGGTTTTCTGTTTTTCTTGTCTTAAAATTTGAATCTCATTCTGCAGAGCTTGGATCGTAATCTAGGCCAGTTACTTGCTCCAGACTTTTTTCAGCAAAAACAGGCACAAGATCGTTCGTTTCCTCTACAATAGGAACAGACAAAAGACCACGTTGGCTATGGCTGTGGCCAATATCGCCTACCTTTTATAGAACCACAACCTATATCTCCAGATTTCGCCAACCACGGCCATTGTCATCAAATTATTCATTAGTGCTTTCCTTCGAGGCTCACGCATCTCCTACAACCCCTAGATTGCGCAGGACTTCCGCGATGTGCTGCGCCCCAAGCTGCTTGGCACGTGGTATTTGCACGAGACATTCCAGCATTAATCGCCTCTCGATTTCTTTGTCCTGCTTTCCTCCTATCTCTGACTCCTAGGTGCTTCCTCACTGGCCCATTGCGATGCCGCATGCACTTTTCAGGACGCATTTGCGCGGTGGCGCACCCATCGGGGAAGAGCCCACGCATGTCGTTTACCTGGGCATGGTGGACTGACATGAGCGCCCGGAGTGTGTGGGAGACGTTAAGAAACTGGGGGTTTTACCCGTCCATTTGGGCGCGGTCTTGGCTGTTGGGCTATGCTGCGTCAACCGATATGAGCCCAAGCCAGACGGCCATCGGGTGGGCACCGCCACGCTCTTGGAGAGCGGGGACATACCACGGTCTGGACGCTCGATTTGTGCATCTGCGGATGCCGACGCCGACATCGGCCAAACCACGGCGGCGCGGCGACCGAGCCAACAGAGGAAAGTTTACAGCAAATACTGGACCACCAGACATTATTGGAGGTGTTAGCGGCGGTCACACAGGCCATTTTGCAGCAGATAGCCATAATCCTGGGGTTAGCGTCAGAGGATGTCGATCTAAGTAAGACCGTTGCGACGCATGGGGAGGACTCGCTGGTGGCTGTTTAGTTCCGTAATTGGTTCCGGTGGGAACTAGACTGTAGGCTTCCCACGGATCAGCTCTCCGGGGGACATTTGGTGCGTCAGTTAGCGTCAACGGCGGCCGCAGCCCTACTAGCCAAGCGCTGACGTGAAGATAATAAATGCGCGCTAGAGTTTGCGAGAAGATTACCAATTAGTCGCTCTGTGGATCGGCCCTGCCAAGCATCGCGGCCTATTTCCGCGTCTCATCGTCTGTCCTGGTGATATTCGATCAGATTTCGGCACGAACCACACAGTCAACGCCAAGTCACTGCGATTTTTGGCAATGGCAGTGTTCCTTCTCGTCTGTAGGAGATTGCGGCTTGGCTGGTGCTGCCGTTTTGGGAAAACACGTCGCTTGGGCATGGAGGAATGCCGTGGCCGAAGACAACAGACTGATGCAAGTCTCCGGTCTATAAATACGTGCGTCTAGCTTTCGCAATACCGCTCTCACTATACTACTTTCGCTGTACTACTATCTCTGTTACTACTTGCGCTGTGACTACTTACGTTCTTACCTCCAGTCATAAAGCATGCGTCTCCTTCTCTTCGCGTCGGCCGTCCTGGCCGTTCGACCGTTCCTTAACGAACCGGACATCGGGTATGCACCTCCTATCCTTGACATGCCTCTGACTAACGGCGCAGAATCGACGACGTGCTCGGGGACACCCCTCAGGGCACCCTACCCGACCTCGAGAAGCTCGTCGGTCTACCGGACTTCGACTGGGCCGCTCGACGCTACCTGAATGCCTCGTCCTACACGTACTACCGCAATGGCGCCGCAGGAGAATGGTCCTACCGCAACAACCTTGAAGTCTACGGACGATACCGGTTCCGACCTCGCGTCATGGTTGACGTAAGCCAGGTTGAATCGACGCTGCCGACTTCTATCCTCGGGTACAATTTCTCCGCACCCTTCTATATCAGTCCCTGTGCTCGGGCTGGTCTGGCTCATCCCGAAGGCGAGAAAAACCTGGTCAAGGCAGCATACGAGGAAGATCTCCTGTATATCCCATCTCTGTTTTCCTCGGTGTCCATGGATGAGATCGCAGCGGCAAAACCGTCCGATGGCTCGCAGGTTATGTTCCAGCAGGTGTATCTGGACAGTAACGAAACGGAGACACAAGAAGTCTTTGCACAAGCTGAAAAGCTCGGAAGCAAAGCTCTTGTTTTCACCGTCGACTCCGCCGCCGGTGGCAATCGACAACGTGCCGTTCGCTACAGTATGGGATCGGCTAATACCGATTACAGCTCCTTCAGCTGGGAGTTCTACAAGAAACTACAGACCATGACGTCTCTGCCGATTGTGATCAAGGGGATTTCTTCCGTCGAGGACGTACGACTAGCGGTGCAGAACAAGGCCCCGGCTGTGATTCTGTCAAACCACGGCGGCCGCAACCTGGACAGCAGTCCCTCGCCGCTGGAGATAGCGTTGGAGATCTATCAGGAGGCTCCTGAGCTGTTCCAGCAAATCGAGATCTACGCGGACGGTGGCGTGCGCTACGGCACGGACGCGCTCAAACTGTTGGCATTGGGGGTGCGCGCTGTGGGCATCGGGCGGCCGTTCATGTTTGCCAATACGTACGGCGTGGAGGGAGTGCGCAAGGCGATTCAACTGCTGAAGCGCGAGATTGCCGTCGATGGGGGGAACCTGGGGCTGGGAGATCTCAAGAAGATTGATCCATCATATGTAAGTCTGACCGGAGCCATCTGGAAATTTGTGCTGACAGTATAGGTTAAATGGGCGAACAATGGATGGTACACCTAAACGGGGGCGATATATGATAGGCGGTATCCATGATTATATCTGGCCTCTATATTCAGATTCCCGTCATGGATAGGATATCATTACGACTTCGAAGTCTCATTTCTAGCTTCATTATTTCCATACTTTCTATGCAGAACATATCGTAGTACATGTAGTTGGCCATGCTAACAATGTAACATTGCAGCACATCATGTAATTTCTACCATACTCATGCTCATGCTAATGCCCCGGCAACATATCGTCTATGTCCTCACGCGGCCCCCCCAACCGCCTCAAGGGCCGGCAGAACGCCGACGGTTTGACCCAATCCTGCGGGGCAAAGACACCGCTTCGATTCTTCCCAGGTTGGCATCCTCAAGCGCCATCGCCATGAGCGCCGCACATGCCGCGCCTGAGATGGGAGCCATATTTCTCATGAAGAAACAGTCCTCGCCGTCTTGGCTGTCTGCTTAATCACTACCACCAGACGGTCCTAGCGCGTTCCCACCTCGCGCACCAGCAGACTGCCACAGTAGGAAATCGTTTGACCACGCACCGCAGCAATAATAAAGGAGATCACCTCGCCAAGTGCGTTCCACATTCCAGATCTGCTCGATCATCCCCATTAGTGCATCGGGTCCAGCCCGGAGGAATGCGCCCCATGCACCACCAACTAAATATGAGCAAGACATTGTTTTTAAAGTGTCTCGTGGCGTTAGCAGCCGCTTTAGTCCCGCAGTATAGGATCAGAGTATATCGTATAGATATTACTTATGGAGTTTGACACAACCCGATTACAGCTGACTGAATCAAGTATGTGGACATAAGCCACGTTCTCAAAATGTCAAATTGCCATATCGTTCATGTGTGCACCATGCACTATCCGTTTCTTGCATTTACGACTTTGATTAAATGTCCATACTGAAGCTCTATAGTTTAGCTATTATTTACTCTGTGTAACGTGTTCCTGGAGTCTAGCTACTGAATATAATAAGTTAAATAGTATAGATTATATTCTAAATTAGCAAGTAAATATATCTGCCTATATATATACATATATAAGAAGAGCATGTCCGGCGAACTGAATTGAGCATAGTATGCGCTAAAGTTCCCTGTATTCTTGTAAAGTTCCAACATACCACATCTAACACTCACCCACTAATATATTTCCTACATAAGCTACTAGTATACTATCTTAGTAGACTTCTACATTGCTGCATCCATTGAATCCTGCCCACTGATGGATGCATCCACATAGTTGGCATGGCCCGACGTGTATAGATAGAGCTGGACTCGCCAAGACTCGGACTGCGTGCAATCACCCGTTCAGGGAATATTTACGCAGTATTGTACTTAGGTAGAAATAAATAGTCTGACATCTACTAAAACCAGCTAATAATAACATCAGTCTAGGAAAGATGGCCTGTGGAGCCGAATCCTCAGGCGTAACCTATTAGTATCTTAATAACCCCATCGCCTCCAGTCGTCTTCCCGTCCAATATTATCTCCACCACCTCCTCCGCGCTATTCAGTACTACATCTCAATAAAACTATGACTTCCTTTGTATGTCCAGATACCTAGAACTACCAAGGCTACCAAGGAAATGGTAGTTCTCAACTAACCGCCACGATAGAAACTCATCGGTGTGATTGCCACCTACACCCTGTTCCTCAAGGCCCAACTAGCTACGGCCATGCGAGAGGCCCGCCCGGGGATATACGAGCTGGAACCCATGGTGGGAATGGAGAACTGATAAAAACCGAAGCGGAAGCATATCGGTCGTGCCGATTGGTCTGTTAGAAAGGAACATAGATGGCAAGATGTCATGGACAGTGGCTGCTGTATGGATACTTGTATAGGTGCTTCTGTAATGATTCCTGTATAAATCTAGCAAGTGTTGTCTAATTTCGATTTTCTCATAGATAATTTTGCATAAGAAGACGTACAGTTTAGCCTGTATCCAGTGGTTATTGTCATGGAGAGTCGGCCTTTCTCCAATGATAGTCGAAAGTGGATTGCAGGATGAGGGTATAGTACAGCGGCCTTGAATGAATTAATAGTGTGCTAGTCAAGTGCATCCTCCCATTCAGACTATTCCAGATATTAGTCTGCTGCATAGCATAACGGAAACAGTGCTGATTCGCTTTCGGTTAAAGAGCTTCTATCCTTTGCTTCCTATATCCGTGGATACACTGCCGTTAAGTGGAGTGTGTGTAAAAGCATCGACTTTTATAACTTCCTGCAATTTCTACACCTTATAAAAGACAGTAGGAATAGCGTCCTACATGCTGTAAGAGAGCACCAACCTTAGCTCATTGAATTATAAGAATGTGTACTAAATTGTGTACATAATATACACAGACCACCCCAAGCGGTCATTACCATTCAAAATAGATTTTACTTAGTGTGTATTATTCAGTAACAAAGATAGCCTACCCTTTGGTACAAATCTACTATTGCTTCAGACTAAGAGAGCTCCTTAATGCCCTTTGTTAATATAACTTAAGATCACCCGATCCTTAGAAGGACTGCTTGGCCTTATCTGACACAATGTCGCTCCCTGAGCGGCTCCCCCCTTCTTTATTTTGCACGACAGTTTGGCATCGGTGCTAGATTACACATCTCCAAATATCCATATCTATTCATATATTCGTAGAAAATAGCACAAGCAGGAAAATAATAGGAATTAAGTCACCATTAAATAGCAAATTATCAGAGGCCTAGTATATACAATCAGGCCTAGTAACCATGCATTACAGTTACAACAAAACTATCAGTATATCTATTCTTCTCCTGTTCTAAACACAATATAGGTTATAAAAGCTTAAGTCGGCGTACAAGAACACCAGCAACTTTCGGTGGAAGGGCTCGTGGATTGTGGGGGAAATTAATCATTTCCCTGAAGAAATGCAGCGCCACAGTTCATTCAGAGGGGCAACATCCACTGTTGGATTCTGTCCATCAATGCCTTGAGATCGGACTGAAGCGGAAGCTGTGGGGTAACAACTCGTAGGCAAAATCTCGCATTAACGACCGAGGTGTACGGTTTGAGAGGATGATCTCGCGAAAGAAAAAGAACAGCACCGGCCATTGATTCCGAGCTTGAAGCTTTCTGATGAGACTAGCAGCCACAACTGACTTCCCACTGCCCAGGATGCTCTAATCCAAAGCGCGCCCTGATCGCCTTATTGAACCACCGGTACTGGCCTGTATCAAGGATCCATTCGGCAGAGCCGCGCACATGGAAGCTCAGGTGCCTCCGGTATTCACCAGCAGGTGAGTCCGAGACTGTCGGGTAGAGCCAAATTTTGATCTCGCTGATCGTCTCAGGTGATTCCCCAGAAGCATTTTTGGGGTCGTTGTCTGGAAGACGTTAGTGGTTCGTGTCTGTTCGGATGGAGGGGTCGATGGACTCACACCCCGTCACGAGAACATGGTCACCTGTGTCCACTTCCACCATAGTACAAAATGGTTGACATGATTCGGGAAATCATCGGGAAGACTGAGATTTAGAACTGTGGCCAGTTGGGGGCGGACGGTGCCCCGCTCGAAGGCGCTGACGAGGCTGGATTTCTCTGTATATGGCAAACTATTATACAGTTCCTAACCAAAAGCTTGAATAATTGTGCTAAGAACGCGTTGAAAAGTGTTTGGTTAACCACTAACCATAACACCTAGAAGGGCTCCTTTAAGTTCCTTTTTTTCTAATATTAAGTGCATTGGCAGCTTAGTCTAAGAGTCAGTATCTTGGTCAAATCTAGACACCCTAGCAGCGTCACTAGTAAATAGCACAAAGCTTAATATCAGACATTGCTCTACCAATGAATAAACTAGTATATTGGAAAGAAAAGATTGAGAGAGTACTGATGGATGCACATAGAAGGACATGTGGAGTTTATGAGATCAATGGGGAGCTTTTATATCTTTTCTCTTGGGTAAAGACAGGTCGACTCTACCTCCGTGAGTACTAAGCACTTTGTCATTACCCTCCTCGTAGGGATCGCAATCACCGCAACAGCCATTACTACACTTACTCTTGCCCCAGCAATTACAGAAACGTTTCCAGAAACGATGACTCCACCGCATTCTGGCCTGCCTGATTGTGTTGTAACATTTAGTATTTGATAACTCTATGCGTTGTCTGTGATTCTAATTTCTGGTAGGCGCGACCGTATGGAATTCCCTGTCCAGCGTCTTATACCTACTCTTGCAATGATCAATGCCACCTTGACAGCTGCTAAATCGTAATGTATTCTTTCTTAAGGTGTAAATTATTTTGGAGGTAATGAAATGGGTAGTCCAATGTACATTAGGTCATAGTGAGGATGCTTCAGAACTCGAGTTAAGTTTTATGCACCAGCTCAGAATGGATTTCCGCTACTGGGATAATAAATAAATATCCTCCCTTTCCACTGCCATATATTTAGAATTGCCATGTACTTTGGAAGCCGAACCTATCTCCAATCGCGATTCATCCAAGGTCGCACAGCTGTACGGAGAAACAACAGCCCTTGAAGTCACCCGCTATGAATCCAACCTAGCACACCAAACACAGGGTTAAATCCATACAGGAGGATCTTGCATAGAAGCAAGAAACAAATGAGCCATAATAACAGTAACAAAGCTCCCGCTTGCCAACCCAGCCAACACGGTGAAAGAGATATTAAACCCCAGGGGCACGCGGAGAGAAAATTACCAACAATACCGATGATCGGATGAAGGAGGTCCCGCTTCACAAGAAACCTAGAGTCCGTCATTGACCAGGCTACAAGTAGACCAATTGGATCCAGATGAGTTTACAAAGTACAAAATAATGATACTGACGAGAAAATATTCATATCAGAATTACGTACGGGTGAGCGTATTGGTTGGTTGACAAGGAGGATGAGACCGAGCGAGCTGGACGTGAGAGCTCCGGATCTCAGCCACATGGATTTTATCTTATAGTCTTCTCCGAACTCAGTGTGAAACAAAAATGACATGATGGGTGGATTAAAGACACATGCGATGTGAACGAATTTAGGAGGTATTGCGCAGCAACAGTCAGAAGGCTAGGATAGTGCTGGCCCCCAAGTTTCACCTTTTCCTTTCCCCTGGCTTAGGACAAAATCGACCCGTAAATTAGATCCACCCCTAGTTCTGAGCCACCCCCCGCTTCGAGCCACCGTGCCCACGCGTCGAATTCGACCTTCCTTCTCCCACCACCACTACCAACCATCCAAAATGGCTCCCAATGAATATGATATTACTCTTGCTATTAGTGATTATGAAAATGGAATTTTTTTTCTTTAATTCGGGAAGCTGCCAAAGCCTACCATGTCAACAGATCCACCCTCCAGCGAAGACTAGCCGGTCATCAAAGCCAGCGAAGAGTCACGCTCACCAACAAAGATTAAGTCGTGTACAAGAAGAATTTCTTGTAAATTGGATAATTAAGCAAGATTAACAAGGATTTCCCCCCTCCTTCACCTGAGTCTAAGTAATAGCCCACTAAATTCTACACATGCTTGGAGATAATACCGCTCTTGGAAAAGAATGGGTGTTAAAATTATAAAAAGAAACCCACAAGTTGCCTCTATGATTAGAAGAAGAATAGATGCCTCCTGGATTTAAAATACACAGCCAGAGCAAGTCCAAGCCTTTTACAACTTCTTTTCTGCTATAAAAGCCAAGTATAATAACCAACCAGAGAATATATGGAATATGGATAAGCATGGGATTGCCCTAGGAGTATGTACAAACTCCCAAGTCCTTGGGAAGGCAGGGAAAAGTCATACTTATAAACAATCTCCAGAATATAGAGAATGGGTTACAATTATTAAGACTCTATCTGCCTGCGGAGAGATCCGGCCACTAGTTATCTTTAAAGGCAAAAATCCACAAACTTCAAGGTTTTCAGACCATAATATCCCCGACTGGCTTATTACAACCTCAAAAAATGGATGCACATCCAAAGACATTGCTTTAGAATGGTTACAGTCTTCCTTTCTACCTGAAACCAAGCTAAAGGATGGATCTTATCGAATTCTGCTTCTAGGTGGACACAAGAGCCATAAGAATGTGGATTTTCTTTGGAGTTGCCATCAGAATAACGTTTATATTATTTTCTTTTCTTGCCTCCCCATTCTTCTCACCTTCTCCAACCATTAGATTTGGGCTCTTTCTCTTCAATTAAGGCTTATTATTGAAAGGAGATTGATGGACTATCTTATCTTGATAATGCCTTGCGAGTTAAAAAAAAAAAAAGGATTTGTTTAATACTACTAAAAGGCTCGAATAGATTCATTTACACCTATATTATTAAAATCTGGATGGAAAACAACCGGTTTACACCCATGGAATCCAAACAAAAGTCTTTAATCCTCCCAGCTTCGAATACAGTCCCAAAAGCAACTATTAACAGAAGATAATCCCAAAACACCAAGCCCAAAGCAATCTAAAATGGACTTAAATATTTTATATACAACTCTTAGAAGTCACCGGCATGTATATAGCAATATCCAGCTTTTAAGGTAGATGCAAAAACTTTCTAAAGAGACTTAACTTGTTCTTAACAAAGCGGGCAAGTTAATTGACTAGCTTTAAACTAAGAAAGCACAAAAGGATCCACTATTCACAAGCAGAAGGCAACAATTGAGCATTTGTCCAGTCATAAAATTAGAAAGAAGGTATCTGCAGACCCAAACACAAAGTTTTCTAATATAGAGAACATTCAGAAGGGACTGGCGGAGGTGGAGGAGAAAAGTCGAAGATATCAAGCTGCTCATGGCAAAAAGGAACTAGAAAAGACTTCAGACGATGTCCTAGGACGACCTCTTGAAGATCATCTAAAGCGTAGGGATCCCTGTTAACTTGAAGCTCCTCTTTTTTAATACATATAGTTATATTATATATCGTTATAATATACTAACCTCATTATTTATATCCTAGTATATGAAAAGGACACTGTTTTTATTGATATTTTCCAGTTCAGTTACTGTGTTTAGCTTTCCTGCGTCCCTGTCTTCCCATACTCATCTCTCTTGATATGTATATGTGTGTACATTACCTGAACAGACTCAACCTCAATCCTCTCTCAGATAACCCGGTGTTCTCGGCACTGGAACGCAATAATGCAGTCCTATGAAGCCCCCACGGACTAATAACGAGCTATTCGCAGTATCGATTAGTCCTTAGGATCTGCACTATTCTCTTGTAGTGGCTGTATCAGTCCTTAATTCAGCTGTTCAGTAGCCAGTGAGAGTACCGTATCAAAGAGCAATGCAACTAGAATAAGCAACTTGAAAAGGTTTACAGGTAGGGCATATGCCTATGCCTCGGTAGCAATCAGGAATAGGTAGGCCCTCATGTATTCCTCAGAGATGAATTAGCTTCCGTGTAATGTAAGTATAATTGCGGCGAAGATAGAAAATCCGGTTACCAAAACTCGATGGTCCACGATGACCCTGCGTGGTCACTGAGATCAAGATGTTCGTTAATTCGACAAATACATATTTGCTGCTGTGGTTGAAAAGAGATCTTCAACGCCCTTTCTTACACGTGTACTAGTCAAATTTTGTCCATAGCCAAGGGAGATACCGAGTTCCCAATCCAGCGCTATTGATGGTCTCTTACTCTGCTCAAGGGGTTTCATGTGGGAGTATCAGATTCTCTGGGAGGGTGTAGATAATTCTCATGGTGCCGTGCTTTAAAATCGATTCCATTTTTTTTACTGAGAGTCGGGCAAGTTTCTTGGGAAACTCAGCCATCTCCGGCTATCAGGGAAACTGACGCCATGTCGAATATGATATAGAAATAAGGGAAATTCAACAGTCATTTACGTCAGCCTATATCCCATAAGATTTTTCAGTAATATCTATAACTGTATGTTATACAGTATTTTGCCATAGTCATATTGGATAATAGATACAGCAACACTCTCTACCATGTGTCTAGCGAGCTCTGATTCGTGCACCTTAACTACAAGATAGGAACGTAGCCTACCTTGTAAATCTAGATCTCTTTGTATTTTAACATTGGTTTCATCCTTGGGAGCCGAAAATCCTAAGAACGCTTTGTCTTGTGAAGAATAATTTATCTGCTTTATTCTAAACATCATCGAACAAGCGCAGTGCAGTTGCTTAATATCCTTGATAGCTATTCAGCTCGATCTTCTACATGAATTGGTTGCAGCGGTCCTCCATTTTCATTCCAGTTTTCACACGCCTAACCATCAGCATACGACCTAATAAGAAGCCTATAAGATACTTGCAAACTCTTAAATAGTATGAACATACGGACAAGCTTATCTCAAGACGAACTCTTTCAACCCAAGTTTCAAGGCAGGTGAGTACAAAGAAAGAAAGAGAGAAGAGAAAAGAAAAGAAAAGGAAGAAAAGGAAGAAAAGGAAGAAAAGGAAGAAAAGGAAGAAAAGGAAGAAAAGGAAGAAAAGGAAGAAAAGGAAGAAAAGGAAGAAAAGGAAGAAAAGGAAGAAAACGAAGAAAACGAAGAAAGAAGAGAAAAAACAACACTCGGTATCCCAACATATGGCCACCAGCTTTCAATGCCTTTCGCCTATTGGAAATTAACATCATGAGACTGCACCAGGCTATCAACCATCAGTTGGTTAAAATCCACCTGACAGCCTTTCATGCGGTTTGCAGATGTTTTCTAACGATTCCAGAGCTTCATCGCTCAAGGTCCATTTGACTTCACCACGAAAGTCTTTTTGTATATAAGGCTTCTGGCGCATCCAATCTATCCATTTCTTTGCGACATCCACCGCTATATCCACGCTATCTAACTCGAACCACTCGAAGTGAGTCATACTGCACATCGGGCATTTAGGTTCCATTTTGCGATAATCTCTCAGTTCAGCATGGATCAGTTTCTCCACACGGAAGATATGTCTCAGTGGCTCTTTCGTGTCTTCCCTCGGAAAATGGACATATAGCCTCTTACCACATTGCCTTTCCCACTGGTTTAATCGGACATTGACATCACCGGTGTAGCCTATCTTCACGCGCCCAAAGTGCCCTGGGCACCAATAAATATAGATGAACCCTGTCCGCTCGATCTCCAATTTTGACAAAGGTTTATTGCAGATTTCCTCTAGGGCCTTAGTTATTGGCTTCCCCATCTGCGATAGTGGGCAATAAGGTTCCAGCTCTTGGAGCGAGCTTTTTGGCCGAGCAGTAGTCATTGTAGAGTCAGTCAGGGATGGTGGGGAGTTAGCTTCATTATTTTCTGCTTTGATCCTAGTTCCGATAAATGGACCCAAGGATATGACATCAGCCTTCAGAGTATGGATCCAGTCGAATAGAAGAGAAATATGGTAATCCTCAACATTGTCCGAGAGACCATTAAGCTTTGGGAGTATACCTCTCCAAAATCTCCATTCTTTTGTTGCGACCTTCATATGAATCTTGCAGAGGATCGAGTTCACCAAATCATTTATGTGTGATTCAAGATCGGCTGTATTTGTATTGATGAAGTTAAGGAGCTGTGCAGAGATCATATCAATAGATCCTCTTTGTCTTATCAGACACCTCTCGCCATTCCCTTTTTTGCTCGCAACACAGCGTGAGCTGTCCTCGTGAAATAGTCGTCCCATATTGCGGGGTAAGATCTTATTAAGTGACGTTTCAGGATGAGTAGGTTGCGGTATGTCATCATTTGAAGTGGGATCCTTTGCCCCAGTCATAGAGGTGGAAGGAGCAATATCAGAATAGTGACTTGGGCTAGACTGCTCCCTAAAACCTTGAAGATTGGTACCAATATCACTAGAAGGTCTGCCCTTCCTGCGGTGCGGTTCCATATGGTGGACGAAATCTATGTCGGGCATTAAATTCATCGAATGTCGCTTGATTCGACTCGAGCTTGACACGGACGAATCCTTCTGTGGTAGGGTTGTGTCAAGAGCATTGCGCCCAATGTCTATGGTGGGCTGTACGTCAGGGCTTCCTGGGGCGGCTGATAAGTTACCACTGGGAGTCGTAGAACGAGATCTTCCTCGAGATGCGTTTCTCAGCTGTGCGGAGCTAACGCCAAAATTATGTCTTCTCACCCCATTCCAGACTCCTGCGGGGAGTAGGCGTGATTTTGTTTCATCTTTCTGAGGTGAGTCAAATGTCACAGCCGAAAGATCAAAGTCAGATGCGAAGTTTTCCGTATCCTTTACTTCAGGTGAGGAAAGACTTAGGATCCGAGAAACCCCGACATCAGATGTCTCATTTGATAGAAATTCTGGTGGGGATAGTTTAACATCTGGCGTCACGCCGGTAGAGGACTGGATGCTACTGCTGTCTCCCGGGTCAATTTGGTCTTCGTGATATCCCGATCGTGGAGCGCTCAGACTCCGAGATCTCGGCTTTCCATGAGGTGCTTTCCCCGTTTCATCGTGATAGAAGTTAACCTGCCCTAAACTCATAGACCGTCGCTTTGCGTGCTGTCCTTCGTGGATAGGATGCACCGTTGTGGTGTTTCTATAGCCAGTGGTTCGTTCTGCTCGACATCCTAACGGAGGGAGCTTATTTAAACCGTTGAATTCATAATTCTGATCCGTTTGATTCGAATAACTACCCAAAGAAGTTGAGATGGTAGCAAGAGAACCTGCACATGTGGGTTTGACAGTGGTGAATTCATAGGAGACAGATGGCTCTTTTGCTTTCATCCGGGAGGGAGAGCTGAGAGACGAAATTGTGAAGAATGATGGATCAAACCGATGGTGTGGCTTTCTGGTGGGAGTGTCCCATCCATAGTCTTCAGTGGCTTGCGTGGAGACAGAGTTGGGAGGGCTGAAAATGCCGTCATGGCTTGCATCGGGTGATGATGAAGGAGTAGCCTTAGATAAGGGGGTAGCGGTCGAGAAAGAACGTTTGTCGAATTCTGGGCCAGATCTTGATTCTTTGAGAGGAGTCTGAGGTGCTTTGGTCTGGCTCAAGAGTGTGTCCTCCATGGCAAGCATTCTTGACACTTAATACTTGTTGATACATCTGGCTCCTTCAGGGACCAGTGGACTCAAATAATATAGTATTGAGGGGCACGGCAGGTTAAAGAGCCCTCCAGCCTCGTTTTAAGTCCTATTCTGAACATCGCCGGCTGAGCGGGTGCTCCTTGCATAGTACTTTTGCAACACTACAGGGTATTGTACTGTCCTAATCTGAGCGTCAGCACTAGTTTTAGCAAGAATGTGATGCTCAGCTACATCAGCTAGTCCTAAACACGGTCTCCACTGGTATTAAGCATCTTCGGGAGCCCCTAGCAATTTTAAGGACGCTTCTTTCTGGATTTTGTGTTGAGTAGTTCTTTCTTAACTATTAGATACCACTGTAGCTGCTTCAAAACTGCGGAAAGTATTTCTTACCCAAGGCTCTCCACCTAGCTAACGGACTAGCCTCGGTCCAATATTTTAGATAGTAGATTAGTCTGCCCAGGTATAATGCACCTTGACTGCGCCGCAGCCTCGTTTTTATCTAGTGCCATGGCATAGTCCTTGTCAGAAGTAATGCCCCAAACTCGGACCTCGGATAAATAGGGGGGTTTCAGGGGGCTACTGCCATTCCCAACAGAATCCAAATCGATTGTGCTGGTGGCAGGATGCGTTCACAACAAGTACCAAGTCTAGATTCGTAGATTTAACTGCTAAGACAGTAACAGTGGATGTGGCCGGCGCCTGGTCTTTTCACTAAACCATTCCCCGAAGCTAGCCACATACTAAATCTGATTCTTGGAATCCAGGTCACCAAGGTCATTAAGCCGTACGCATTCCAACACTAGTTCGTGCCAGCAGGGTATCAATTGCAAAGGTCGTCAATAGCAGAGTGGACAATCATCCCAACGTCCACAGCTGAGAACTTGGGACAGATTCCAACTGTCAGAGATACTACTACGCCACAAAAAGTAGTGCTGTTACAATTTGTGCGTATTACTAGCATATCTACCTATTCTGACGCCAATTAATTAGTTTTCTGTGTGCGGGATCTGCATTCAAAGTGCGTCGTCAGAGAGGTATTATTACCTACATTCCAATCACAAGATGGGGGGGCCGATCTACTAGCCGATAATCTTGAACGCGTCGCCAGACTCCGCTTTTACCCAAGACCCATTTAATATAAATGCCTGAAAATCTGATATCGTTAATTTTATGTGCCTATAATAACTCACTAATAACTCAATAAATATATGGGGGTCACTCGCGCGACGTAATATCGCACGATACTAGGGCGAAACCGCCACGCCATTATTAACTTTCAAGAGTATAACTTGCATAGCGGCGCGCCACACAGCTCCGGGAAATAAGTACAGCCCCTTTTTAAATCTTAAGAAGCCAAAAGATTTACTATTTTAAGAAACTGATGTAAATTGTCCCACTTACTCTCACGTGTCGCGCTCTCACATGCCTTCGCCTAACCTGATTTGCCGTCTTGCTAGGGAGCAAGCCCGTCTGAGCGGAGCTCGTAGCCTTTATAGTTATATACAAGCATTATTGTTTCACTAACATTCTTTAAATTATGGAGCTAATAAGAGACTGTTCGCCAAGGCCAGCAGTGGAGTCAACACCATTCAGCAGCTTATCTCCGCAGCACTCGTAGGAGGACCCAGAGGTGCAGGAGATGGAGCTTGAGGAGCGCCTTAATTCATCATATAATAAAAAATTTCTGTATCTCGAACGATCTAGCCTTCCTGGAAATATTCAACATGCATATCAACTAAGGCAGAAAGAATGGCGAGTAAGTTAAGTATCCTTTTTCTATAATATAATCTATACAAGATCTTACCTGTGCCCTTATTTATTTTATTAGGAATTCTGCGTACATCAGAGCTATGTTACCAAGATTTTCACACATTAGTAGTGAGTTTACATTCTTTGTTTGTTTACTTCGCTCTTATAACGCGAGATGTTTGATAGTTTAGTTGAATCAGAGACCTAATCTTCTATGGAGGATTGATACTTGCGAATAAGCGTATTTTTTATGGTCGACCTATTATAATTATACCCATCCTCCAAGGTACCTGCTGCACAGCCTAAGAATTATTCCCGCTTTTGTATAGTCTCACGGCGTATATAGCTGGCTAAAAGACTGCTTAAAGTATTCCCCTGTGGATTAGGATGGGATTCGCACTGTATCTCTTTTGGGAAGACCAGAGGTTAACAAAAGATGCCCTTGTCCTTTTCCTACATAGGAACTCCGAGAGACAGCATTTTTATGAAGAGAACGGACGGATGTGTCACAAATTTCGCCGAGGAGTGTACCCCCTACCGTGCGATGAACAAGAACAAGATGGCCTCGATATATTCCATAAACTATTCACTGTAGCCAGGAAGTCGGATGGGTTGATATATGCCCCCCCTCTGGAGTAGACCTTGCTCCCATACAACCACCCAATCACCCACCTAACTGCGAATTCTACACTCCGTCTAATTTCGAGAGCTGCTGGGCCGTGGGGAGGCATTAATCATGATATGTATCTCAACTTCTCCTACGCACCTCATTGTATGTATCTTCATCCCCGGCATCCAGTTAGCTCTAATACCCAGCTTCTCACTAGTAAGTGTCAAATAATATGGCCATACGTGGCCATGATCATGTGACGCAAAAGGGGTCAAAAAGGCTCTCGATAGGCAAGACAACATAATCATAATCAACAACCAACATAAGTAATCATCAATATAACCAAGAGGAGCTTAACGAGCTCAAATCATCCAAATAAGACCTTTTGCCAAATTGTATACTACCTTGTAAAATGGTTACCCCGTATATCTGATAATAGGCGATTTTTGCCGGATACGCTGTCAATCACGGATTCGCCTTCTGCCGATCCCATATCCCTGAACGAGTGATGTGTCACCAATACCTTATGTAACTAGTGTACAAGTCAGCAACCCCAAGATTAGGGGGGCCCTTTCCCCCTTAACCTACCCTTTCTAAGAACGAAATATTTATTCTATTATTATATTTCTAAAGATTTGACCTCCTCTCCTATCCCTACTACTAGATTATCCACAGTTCTGAACTCAGGATGCACGACTTGCTAAGAGATTCACCGAGTGATAGTCCTAGTAAATTCCTTGTGACCTCCGGTCCTGCGGACCAGGTGGACGTGGACGAGGCTGCTCGGCAAGGGCAGTTTGACCTTCTCCGATCTGTGGCATATAACAGGAAATGGTTTATTAGTCACAGCTATTGCCGGAGTGGGCATTCCCAGGATTTCTCCCAGCCATGTCTCCATTTTCTCTGGTACATCTATTACCAGTGCAGCAGATATATCTCTTATGAAAGTACTGAGCAAGATCGGTTGGTCCTTGATATCCTCCGTACTCGAGGACAAGGGCCTTTAGTGAGGCCAGCACCAAGTTGTGGCATTGATATTGCTAGAACCCCTGATGGTGCTGTCTGGAACGACCTACCGTTCCTTGCTACGGACATGACAGATTTCTGGGTTAACAACTGCGCGGCAATGAGCGCGAACCAGCGCCTTAATGTCGCGTCCTTTCTTGCTAAACTTGCATCCACGCGTGTGGTAAAAGATAAGCTTTGCCAGATTGCTCTAATACTTTTCTCTGAAACATTTGAGTCCTTGCGGCGGCTTGGCAGCTCTAATGAGCCTAGTGAAGAAGAACCTCGACGAACAATGAATACACTTACTATTGCCGCGTTACTCCCGTCCGCATGTGCCTGGATCAAGAGGCCGGCATAATATTATACTCCTATCAGATGTATCATGGAATGACTGCTCTGACAATACTATTGGGAAAGGTGGTTTTAAGTTTGTTAGGTCAGAGCTAGGTCAACGGTCACCTGGTGGATTTAGTCCCTGGAGATGGCTATACTGGCTTAAGCGGTTACATGAGATCGCCGAAGAAGCAGCACAGGCCGATGAGATGTGTCTTGCAGAGCGGGCAGCAAGGGCCATTGATATTATGTTAGACAATATTAAGGAGAGGAACTCTCAAATTCTCAGAGTGTTTGAGGCTGAGAGCGATTTGCACCAGGATAGAGATTTCTTGGGTCTAAAGAAGAAGTTCTAATGCAAGTATAACCAAACTTAAATGACTTTATATTCTCATTCCTAGAACGTGTATGCTCCGACAACACAGCTTACTATAGGAGAAAGTGAGATCTTTCTGCACAGAAAGATCGTGAGCTTCTATATTCTAGTAGGCCATGGGTTTCTCTTACCATGGCCAGATCCCCGTGATACGGAAATAGAATTGCGAGCAGTTAAAGAGACTAACTGATATTGAGAAGACCAAAGATATGGCTAATAAAGGTGTGTACTAGCTTTCGCTTCATCTATGCATTTTTATAGGACTGAGGAGGGACATGATCGGCTAGTTGTTAACGAAGCAACTATTTTTCAGCAATGCCTTTCCACGCGAGCAGATTTAGATGCATTATATTCCAGACTGCTCTAATAATCAGCGCTCCTGATAAAGCTTGCTCCAACGCCCCTATAACAAGGGAACCCAGCCGCATTTTAAGTCTAAACCTATTATTTACCCGGATGTGGCCGATACCACTACAGGCATATTATCTTCCTGTCTCACAAATTCAGGCTAGTTAACGGAGGAGCTCGTTTACTTATTCCCCTGCAATACTTTCCAACGGACTCAGGCCATGAGCACTCAAAAAATCCAAACAGTCAGTCTCTTTAGAAGCAATTAATGGATTCGCATCCTGTGCAACTTAGCAGACTTGATAAGTTGCTTTCTAGCAAAGCTCGTGATCCTGGTGCAGATTAACCTCTTTGCTTTCTCGAATCGCGCGCTTATTCTGGGGACAGACCCAGCTCCTCTGAACCAACAATAGCAAGAATAAATACATGTACGTAAGAGACCCTGCCAACTTATTCTAAACGCTAAATGTATTAGGCTGATGTTAACGAAAGCACCAAGAATTGCTTTTAATACTGCTAATAACAAGTGCGGAGATATAACCACGCCGACATGTAATCAGGAATCAT